AGTAAAAGGAAGAAGGCTGCTGAGATCGCAGGATTGTGGCCATCTTGACGTTTTGATTCCCCCCCCTCCCATCTCTGCAGACATCCCTGTTGGCTGGCAGAGATGGAGAACCACGCATTTTGCTCAAAAGTTCTATGCCCAAGGTTGACTTCCATGCCTGTTGCTTTGTTCCCCCCCCCCAAAAGCAGTGTCTCATTTAATAGAGAGCTGAGCTGGGGGTCTTGCTCATGGCTGAGCTGCTGGGGGTTTGCAGGGGTTCGGCAGAACCTCTAGTTAAGATTCTGTGCAGTACGGAGGACCCCTAAATCCCACTCCTGGCTAGCCCCGCCCAACCCACCCCACTCCTCCCAGGAGTCCCCACGCGGCCCATTTTGGATGCAGGTAAGTGCAGGGCACATGTGGAGGCTCGGGGAGGGCGAAAAATGGGCCCACCGGAAGTTCAGGAAGGCCAGAAACGGGCCTGTTTCTGGCCTCCATAGGGCCTCCAGAGCCTGGGGATGCTGTTTTCACCCTCCCGGAAGCTCAAGGAAAGCCTCCGGAGCCTGGGGAGGACAATAACACCCCCACCACCCCCGCCATGGTGCAGGAGGCCGACTAGGCCACACCCACCATAGCCACGCTCACCCAGCAACTAGGCAGAGAACCCCTTGCTAAAATTTTTGAAGCCCACCCCTGGTGTTGCTCCATTTGTCTCCCCTGTGTACCCACCTAATTTATCCCCCTAAGTCATTCTTACCCCCCCACACACACCTCAAACCTGCTCTCTTTGTTTGCCTGGGCTGTCAAGGGAGGATGACCGAGATGAGCAGGTGGCTACTTTAATGAGGAAGGGAGGTACTTTCAGCTCCATCGGTCTGTTAGCAATTCAAGGCAGCAGATGCCAAGCTGAATTCCTGCTTTGGGGCATCTTCTTACCCTCTAATCTCTAAATGAGGGGTGGGGAATCCCCCAAAGCTCAAAACAAGGGAATAAGCTAATGAAGCTTTCCCCAGCTAGGAGAAAGCAGCTGAGCCACGAGGCTGGCAGCAAAGAGATAGATTATTTTTTTTCTTCCGAAATCTGCATCAGACCCAGATGACTTCATTGTTGGTGGATTGTTGGTGGATTGACAGGGGATGACAACGGAGATTTTTTTTCCCTTTGGACACAAAAGAAATTCAAACCCTCCCAACAACCGGAGAGTAAGTCAGATCTTATTCTGGCCCCAAACAGAACTGTTTGTATCCATTTGGCTGCTTCTTCTGAAATTTGTATTTTGGGCGGTTCTAGAACTTGTGGGTTAGTGATGGATTTTCAGTACGGTCCGATTTGTTACAGGTTTTAGATTCTGGTTGCTTCTGCTCTTGATATGGTCAGCCGAGGAGAGGATGTTTGGAATGGAGGGGAGAAATGTGATTGAGAATTAAAACGGGGCAGTTATTGTGTATAGTGAGATGTGAGATGGGCTCTGCAAAGGCTCCCGGACATAAAACATTGCCTTCCTTTGTTGCATTGCTGAAAAAGCTCCTGGCTCAGAGCTATGCAACTCCCACGTTATTTTGTGCAACTCCCACGTCAGCACTGACCCCGAGGGGTGCTTCTCTTCGGCAAGGAGGTCATTCCTGCTAAACCAGAACACGGAATACAGAGTTGGGACCTTCTAGTCCAACCCCCTGCTCAAGTAGGAGACCCTCTACCATTCCAGACAAGTGGCTCTCCTGTTTCTTCTTAAAAACCTCCAGTGTTGGAGCACCCACAACTTCTGAAGGCAACTTCTGTTCCACTGATTAATTGTTCTCACTTACAGGAAATTTCTCCTTATTTCTAGGTTGGATCTCTCCTTGATTATTTTCCATCCATTGCTTCTTTTCCTGCCTTCGGGTGCTTTGGAGGTTGAACCCCCCCCCATTCTTTCTGATAGTCCTTCAAATATTGGAACACTGCTATCAGGATTAGATCTTCTCTTCGTTAGACTAGACATACTCTAATACAGGGGTCGCCAATCTTTTGGACCTCAGGGACCACTAAATTCATAATTTTAAATCTAGTGGACCACTAATATGATATGCCTAAAGACCGGCTGGATGGGCATGGCTAAGTGGTTATGTGACTGAGTGGGCATGGTCAACTTGATGTCACTCATGTTGAGGGGTGCCTCGCTGGTCTCTACTCGCCCCTCCCCTCCCAGCCATTCCTCCCCTCGGCGGGCCCTTACAGGAAGCAGTTGTTGGAGCTAAGCAGCCACCATGAGAAAGAGTTGGCAAAACAGCTCAGTTCAAATTGGATCTAACCGAGAAGGAGGCTCAGCAGAAGCACCTCACTGAGGACTACAAGTATAGGCTTTCCAAGCAGAGGGAAGACCTGCGGGAGTGCAAGGCCAGGTACCAGCACCTGGAGGCTCAGCGGGCTGAGATGGTCAGCCAATTCCAGGCCATGATGGAGTCCCACTGGAACAAGGTCATCTGGCTCTTTGCCACCAGCGGCGCTTCCCTCCAGCCTTCGCCCAAAGCCCCACATCAGGAGGCTGAAGCAGACCCCAAGTCGGAATTTCTGCCCCCTTCCAACCCACACAAGAAGACCCCGAAGGAGGAGACTCTCTGCAGCAACACAAACTTTCATTGCACGTATCCGTCCCAGAGGCCGTAGTTTGAGGACCCCTGATTTAGTGCAATATAAAAAAATGCAAATGATTTTTCTACGGACCATCAAAATTTTCTCACGGACCAACAGTTGGTGACCGCTGCTCTAATAGACCCAGATGGACCCAGAATATCCCCCACCTCCCAGCTTCTTGAACCCTGATTTTGGTGGGTCTTCTCAGCTTCCTGGAGGTGTCCCAGAGCTAAAACCCCAGAACCAACGAACTCACCATTGGGAGTTTGCAGAAACCTGCCTTGAAAATGAATGGGATGGCTTGGCAATATGACACACTAACTTGATACCAGAAGTTTGCGGGAGCAGCGAGGTTTCCCTCCCTCCCTCCCAGCTCCCTGGAAACTTCCAGATGTGGCCCTCAAGTTCGAAGACTTTGTCCCTCGAGCCAACACTGGGAAACTTCTGCAAACATCTGGGAAGGCTCCAGAAGGATTTAGGAAAATGGCCTGGAGGAGATCTATTTCGGGTAAGAATGCAAAACACGTGCTAAAAATAAAGGACCTTTCTCCCCCTGGCGTTACTGAAGTTCTCACATTGGAAAAAGCTTAATCTGGACAGGAAAAGGAGGATGATCTCGGAGTTTCAGAGCAAAGCTCGGGCAGGGATTGTCCCCAACATAGCTTTCTATGGGGAAAAAGCCCCTGAAGAATAAACAAATGCTATTGAATTCTATGCCTTCAGCCCACTATCTCCCCCCTATCCCCAAAAAAGCATAGAGGTCGCACAAAGAAAGGTAGCACTTGTGAAGACTTCCTTGTAGTCCAGAGCTGGTAAAACTTTGGCCGGGAGAGAAGAGAATTCTGGGAGTTGAAGTCCCACATGAGAAATACTGCTCTAGACTCTTGTTTAGCCTTTTAGACATGTACTTTGCAGCTGGTTAAATCCTCATCACCCCTCTATCATCTCCATCATCTCCTCCATCTCCATCATCTTCTATCCATCTCCATCATATTCTAGACTGGCTAGGTGGCTCAAGACGCTGAGCTTGTCGATCAGGAAGGTCGGCAGTTCGGCGGCTCGAATCCCTAGTATAGGTCTCCCAGGTGAGCAAGGGGTTGGATTAGATGACCTCCAAGGTCCCTTCCAACTCTTGTTACTGTTACCTCTAGGATTTCCAGGAATGTGAAAATTTAGTATCCCAAGCAGAAACAGCTGCAGTCCATCGCTTGGACCCTTCCTGAACCTCTGGGGCTCCACACCGCAATTTAAACGATTCATATTACAGATTACAGAATGACAGAGTTGGAAGGGACCTTGTAGGTCATCCAGTCCAACCCCCCACCCAAGTAGGAGACCCTACACCATTTCTGACATGGCAGTCCAGTCTCTTCTTGAAAGCCTCCAGTGATGAAGCTCCCACAACTTCTGAAGGCAACTTCTCTTCCATGCGTTGATTGTTCTCACTGTCAGAAAATTCCTCCTTATTTCCAGGTTGAATTTCTTCTTGATCAGTTTCCATCCATTATTCCTTGTCTGGCCTTCAGGTGCTTTGGAAAATAGCCTGACCCCTCTCCTCTCTGTGGGAGCCCCTCAAATATTGGAAGACTGCTATCCTGTCTCCCCTGGTCCTTCTCTTCACTAGACCAGCCATGCCCAGTTCCTGCAACTGTTCATCATATGTTTTAGCCTCCAGTCCCCTAACCATCCTGGTTGCTCTTCTCTGCACTCTTTCTAGAGTCCCAACCTCTTTTTTGTAGTGTGGTGACCAAAACTGGATGCAGGACTCTAGGTGTGGTTCCGTTGGATGCCATCCTTGGCCCCACCTCAATCATCTTTAAACTCCACCCTCAGATTCACTTGCTCTGTTCCATGCGCGGCTAGAGAGCCAGAATGTTTCATCACCGAGAAATAATTCACTTTCCTGCCAAAAAGCTAAACCCTCAGCCGCGCAGGAGGATGCTGTAGACTTTGATGAGGCTGTTTTTTCCAACACGCCCTTCAGAGGGAGATTGAATCACTCACTTTCTGCACTTGTACAAAATCCTGAACCATAAAGCAGCCCAAGGGGCTGATTTTGCACAGCATATAAATCACACCCGAGTGCACAAGTAACCAAAATTAGACAAGGCGAATGCCAGCCAAGCTTTGCAGATGATACAAAGGGAGCTACTGGCCCGATGAAGTATGTGGTTTGGATTTTACGTGTTTTTTTCTGGACCCCCATTCTTGTTTTAAAGCTGGGGTTGAACTCACTTCGCTACATCACCCAATGCATTGTACGGCCTTCGTCCTCCATCTGCCAAAAGATTGCCCCCCGTTGCTCCCCTCTTCATGCAGACAGTTAAAAGTACTCCAAATTATTTACGTTTATATTTTAAGAAATTTGAGAGGTGGGGCGAGTGGAGAGCGATAGGGAAAGGGGAAGATATGTACAGCAACGTTTATTGCACCGAAAAAAGTTAACCAAATGAGCCAAATCTCTTTGTTAGGAAAAAAAATATGTGGGGTACATAAAAACGTACAAACCAGGTTAATTGCAAAGTTGAACTTGGCTATCAAATGCATCTTTAAGCTCAGGGTGCCCCCTAGTGGATGGAACCTTCCATGTTCCGTTACAGCAAAGCTCGACTCGTGGAGGAAGCCCCCCCCCTTCTGAGCAATTTCTTCAAATTTGGCTTAAAACACAGCACATTTTCTTCAAACGTCTCTTGCAGCTTGAATGCTGCTAAGATGGACCCCCCTCGTGTGGGATGCTGCTGAAGGTTGGAGGAGAGGACAAGGGACATTATGAAGTTACAGACTGCATAATGTTAGGATGACGTCATCACGAAGCCTGTGATTTCATACAGTTTTGGCTTGCACTGGATGCTTATGGGATGGCTAGTCAGTTTGACAGCCACTCCAGTGTTTCTCAACTTCTTGACATCTTTAAGACAAGTGGACTTCAATTCCCAGAATTCCCCAGCCAGCATTGATTCTGGAGAAGAGAGGTTGAAGCCAACTTTGACTTAATATCTGAACCAGCCTTTATCTTGTAGCTGTCAGAAGATGCAAATTAACCTGAGATAATGATGGCCCGTCCATCTTCTGGATACCAAAAGTGACTGCAGGAACTTGCTAATCTTTCTCTCTTTGGGGGGGAGAGTTGAAATAAATTTCTTATTTCATCTTGAAGGGGAGGAGGGGAGAATGGTCACATCTGGTCCAGGGATGGTATTCACTTACCTTCGCTACCGGTTCGCAAATGTGAGCGCACGTGCGCAGAGCATCAAAAATGGGACGTGATGACGTCCGGGCGGGTGTGTGGAGTCTCCCACAGCCGCTGCTACCAATTCGCCCGAACCGGATGGAACCAGCTGAATACCAACACTGATTTGGTCCTTGCAAGACCGCACTGAGAGAAGAATGTGGGAACAGGCCCACTCCTCCCCAGCAGCTGATGTGAGCATGGAATTAATCCATTTTTGGGGTAGTGCAAAACATGGGAACTGTGGACTAGCCAGATGGCTAGTCGTCTGGCACAATATAGACATTAGGAGAAGCGCAGACGGGCAGAACCCAACCAAGGTTTGCATGCGGTGTAGGTTTGGTTAAGTGTTTTTTGTGAATGCAGCTTTGCTTTAAAGCCAGGTCGTACCTTGGTCAAGGCCAGCAGCCAAATTCTTTGAATCACATTCTGGAGATGGCGTTCCAAAACATGCGTGGAGCCAAGATTGAAAAGAACCTCCTGGCTTGCTTTTTCATTTGACATGGATGTTTTCAATTAAATGGAAACACGGTGTAATTCAATATACCGTATTTTTCAGAATATAAGACGCACCAAGATTTTGAAGAGGAAAACAAGGGGGAAAAAAAATAGTTTTTGGCCTCCGTGTTTCCGGTTTTTGCCTTCCCCGGCCCAAGAGCACTCTGCAGGTCTCCAAAACCCTCTGCATGTCCCAATTTTGCAAAAAACAGGCCTGTTTTTGGCCTCCCGGACCCCCCACGGGTCCTGTCTTTGCTCTCCCCAGCCCCCAGGAGCACTCTGCAGGCCTCCGGAACCTTCTGCACATCCTGTTTTTGCGAAAAACGGGCCTGTTTTTGGCAAAAATGGGACATGTGGGGCAGTGGTGGGATTCAAAGTTTTTTACTACCAGTTCTGTGGGTGTGGCTTGTTGGGCGTGGCATGGCTTGGTGGGCATGGCAAGGGAAGGATACTGTAAAATCTCCATTCCCACTCCAGGGGAAGGTTACTGCAAAATCCCCATTTCCTCCCAATCAGCTGGGACTTGGGAGGCAGAGAATAGATGGGGGCGGAGCCAGTCAGAGATGATATTTACCGGTTCTCCGAACTGCTCAAAATTTCTGCTACCGGTTCTCCAGAACTGGTTAGAACCTGCTGAAACCCACCTCTGATGTGGGGCAGGGTTTCGGGAGGTCAAAAATGGCCGTATTTGGTCTATAAGACGCACCGATGTTTCCACCCTCTTTTAGAGGGGAAAAAAGTCTTATACTCCGAAAAGTACGGTACTTAATGAAAGATCAGAAGATGTGGAGAATCTTGGCCCATCGAATCACCCAAGAGTTGGACACAACTGAATGGATAACATCATCATCATCACGAATCACCTACTTCACATCTTCTGTAATTTTTTTCTCACGGTCACTTTTTGAGAGAGCCACAAACCAAAGCTTTTTGGAAAGAACGCCATCCGTACCCCTGGGGTTCAGAGGGCACAGCTCTCTTTGGTCACCAGGATTTCCATAATTGTCGTGAGGATTTCGCTTCCTGCACTCCTCCCTAAAAAAACCTCTGAAATCAGGAAGGGGGGCCTCTTGGCCAAAGAGGGATTGGAAATTAAACCTCTTTTCAAGGAGAGAGAGCTGAAGAATTGGCTGAAAGACTCAGGTCCACCCTTTGGAGGACTTCTGAGGTCAGGAAAGGAAGAGGTGGAATGGAGCTCCCTTCCTTGACTTGCGACCATTTGTTTAGTGGCTGTCACACTGGCGCTGAAAAAAAAGTGACTTACAATCGGTCCTCATTCTATCACGGTCATGGGATCAAAGCTCAGGCTCTTGGCAATGCGTGTATTTGCAACGGTCGCAGCCTCCTGGGGACATACGACCAGCATTCACCACTTTCCTAGCCCATTTCTGACAAACGGGGGAAGCCCGATTTGCAAGAATCATTTAGGCCTGCAATGATTTGCTAAAGAACGGCGATGCAAAAGGGTGTAAAATGATGGAACGTGAGCTATTTAACCACCCCTTTGCTTAGTGACGGGAAGTTTTGGTCGTAAGTTGAGGACTATCTGTATTAGGGAGATGCTAGAGAAAAGTATTGGCTTTTCAGCGGTGACCCGGGCTACCAGGAATTAACGGAGGCACATCCGCTCCTTATCTCCTAGTCTCAATGGGGTCAGTTGAAGGGTGTTGCACCCCCCACCCAAGTCAAGAAGGGTCTTGGGACTGTTGACGCAAACCAGGACCAGGATGTGAGACTTTAGGATGCCAGCGTTTCCTGGGCTGCCTCTCAGGCAAAGACGGGGGAGTTCTGCCAGTAGGAGTAGACGAGGAACCCGGTGAAGGTGCTGTCTGTTTTCACGCTGGAGTAGAAGCCGGTGTACTCGCCCACTGCCACCTGCACCCAGACTTCGTCCTCAGGCTCCAGCCGCACCAGGCTCCCTCCAGACAGGGAGGTGGGCTTTGGCCAGTTGCCATAAAACTGGAAGAAAGAGGCGATTGCCTTGCCGTTCTTCATGATGTCGAACTGGAGGCTCATCCGGTAGACAGTGGCGTGCACGGCAAAGTAGTACAACCCCGGGATTTCACACATGAACTTGCCGGTGTTACCGTCGTAGTGGCCTTGTTCGTTAATCAGGATGATGTCGAAGACGATGGGCTCATCAGGCAGTGGCGGGCTGCGGGACTCAGAGCGCTTGGCAGTGAAGGCCGAACGGGGTGCCACCGCACATTCTCCCTGGACCCCCTTCTCACCCGGGAGTCCGTTGGTGCCGGGGCTGCCTGGCTCCCCTCGGGGGCCAGTCAGTCCTTCAAGGAGAAAAAGTAAAAGCAGAGTGAAGGTGAGAGCAAGAATGGAGGGTTAAACATGGGGGAAAGAGAGAAGGAAGGAAGGAAGGAAGGAAGGAAGGAAGGAAGGAAGGAAGGAAGGAAGGAAGGAGATGGGAATGAGAGGAAAGAAGGAAGAAAAGAAGGAATGAGAGGAAAAAAGGAAGGAAGGAGATGGGAATGAGAGGAAAGAAGGAAGGAAGGAAGGAATGAGAGGAAAGAAGGAAGAAAAGAAGGAATGAGAGGAAAAAAGGAAGGAAGGAGATGGGAATGAGAGGAAGGAAGGAAGGAAGGAAGGAGATGGGAATGAGAGGAAAGAAGGAAGAAAAGAAGGAATGAGAGGAAAAAAGGAAGGAAGGAGATGGGAATGAGAGGAAAGAAGGAAGGAAGGAAGGAAAGAAAGAAGGAAGGAAGGAGGAGGGAATGAGAGGAGAAGGAAGGAAGGAGAGGAAAGAAGGAAGGAAGGAAGGAGATGGGAATGACAGGAAGGAAGGAGATGGGAATGAGGAAAGAAGGAAGGAAGAAAGGAATGAGAGGAAAGAAGGAAGGAAGGAAGGAGAGGAAAGGAAGGAGATGTGATTGAGAGGAAAGAAGGAAGGAAGGAACGGGAACATAGAGACAAGGAAGGAAGAAAGGAAAGACTACGAAGGTTGAATAACAATTGCAGCACGTTTTGAACATCAAACATCAAATGACCCTGTTCATCCACAGGGTTCAGAAGAGTCAAGACCATGCTCATGATTGCATACCTGAATTCCCACCTCTTAATAAAAAAAAAAGGGGGGGGGTCTTCAGTTATGCATTCACCCCCCATCAGAGGTGGCATTCAGCCAGTTCGGACCGGTTCACCAGAACTGGTAGCGGAAATCACTGGTGGGTGGGCTCGTCCACCTGCTCCGGCTCTATGCCATCCTATTTAGTCACATTTTTGAGGCGGGGACATGCGTGGAAGGCACATACTCACATTTGCAAACCGGTAGGGAAAGTAAGTGTACCACCTTTGCCCCCCTCCCCACCCCAATCCTGCTGTTTCTCTCCACCTAATGGTGTTTGCCAATGCAATTATCTTTGTGTTACTATGGATTTTTTTTTAACGATTTGCATTTGTCCTTTAATCTCTTCCCATGTTTGTTTTTCCTTCTTTGTCCGGGGAGACATTTAACCAGTCTTTAACCATGAATATCGTAAATCTGACGCCTGTCCCGGCTTCCTTTGGAAATCTCTGTCATATATTGGAAACCTGTCACATTATATTCTTGTTTCCTGAGCCCAACTCAGGAAAAGTTGGGCTGATGATAGGGCTGGGATTCAGCCGGTTTGGATGTTAATTTTAATCTGGTTCGCTGAACCAGTAGTTGCATGGACTGGCTGACTCCACCCATCCCACCCCGCCCCTCCCAGGAGTCTCCATGCAGCTCGTTTTGGATGCCAGGTAAGTGCAGAGCCTCTGCGGAGGCTCTGGGAGGGCGAAAAATGGGCCTACCGGAAGTCTGGAAACAGAACCATTTCCGGCTCCCGGGGGCCTCTGGAGCCCGGGGGAGGCCATTTTCGCCCTCCCAGAGGCTCAAGGAAAGCCTCCGAAGCCTGGGGAGGGCGAAAACACCCACCACCATCATGGTGCAAGAATCCGACTGGGCCACGGGTCTGCAACCTTAAAAACTCAAAGAGCGATTTTGACTCATTTCCCACAGAAAAGAAAACATCGGGAGCCACAAAACCTTTCCTGTCCCTGACTTTTTCTTGAGCGGCCACAAAACTAGCATATGTAGTTGAATTAAATGTTCTGTTTTCTTCTGAAACTTTTCTTTTCTTGGATTTATCCATGGTTGGCCTAGTGGGGGTTGAAAAGCTCAATAAATCACGTGCCGGCAGGTGTCGCACATTGGCGGTTGGGACGCATATTTTGAGTGACAGGGAGCTGCAGCAGAAGGGTGAAAGAGCCACATGTGGCTTCAGAGCTGCAAGTTGCTGACCCCTGCACTAGGCCATGGCCACATGCCCACGCCCACCCAGGAACCGGGCAGAGAACCGGATGCTAAAATTTTTCAATCCCACCACTGGCTGATAACATTTTTGTCACTGATTTTCCCCCTTAAATTGAGGGTCCCCAACATTGGGCGTTGCTGAGATTTGGGAAACCAACAAAGTTATTCTGCCCCAGAATCCTTAAATGATTTGATCCCCCCAAAACCAACTGATTTTCCCATCACTTTTCCTTACCTGGATGGCCAATTTCACCCTTCTCTCCATGCAGGCCTGCAGCCCCATCTCGTCCATCTCGTCCATCCCGGCCGGGCAAACCCTGGTGGCCATGAGTTCCAGGGGTCCCGGGGAGACCCGGCTGCCCCGCGCACAAGCTGGGGATCTTGTTGTCTTCCAACTGAGCCGCCTCCTTGGCCAGGGCGAGGAAGAAAAGAAAGAGGAAGCGCGTCTGCTCCATGTTCCCGAGACCTGAAGAATCAGGGAATCACAAAGTTGGAGACCTTAAAGGTCATCTAGATGAACCCCGGGGTGTGTGTGTCATCCAATAATTTTTGCAACCAAGCCCCCTAATTTTAGGATTAGCCCTGCCTGCTGCGATTGGAAATTGGAAGAGGGAGAGAGACAGGCATCCTGGTGTCACATTTGTGTGTTTCTCTTTGTGAAAGAATAGAATATTGTAGAGTAGAGTAGAGTAGAGTAGAGTAGAGTAGAGTAGAGTAGTACAGAATAGAGTAGAGTAGAGTAAGTAAAGTAGAGAAGTACAGAATAGAGTAGAGTAGAGTAGAGTAGTACAGAATAGAGTAGAGTAGAGTAGAGTAAAGTAGAGAAGTACAGAATAGAGTAGAGTAGAGTAGAGTAGTACAGAATAGAGTAGAGTAGAGTAGAGAAGTACAGAATAGAATAGAGTAGAGTAGAGTAGAGAAGTATAGAATAGAGTAGAGTAGAGTAGAGAAGTACAGAATAGAATAGAGTAGAGTAGAGTAGAGAAGTACAGAATAGAGTAGAGTAGAGTAGAGTAGAGTAGTACAGAATAGAGTAGAGTAGAGAAGTACAGAATAGAATAGAGTAGAGTAGAGTAGAGAAGTACAGAATAGAGTAGAGTAGAGTAGAAAAGTACAGAATAGAATAGAGTAGAGTAGAGTAGAGAAGTATAGAATAGAGTAGAGTAGAGTAGAGAAGTACAGAATAGAGTAGAGAAGTACAGAATAGAATAGAATAGAATAGAATAGAATAGAATAGAATAGAATAGAATAGAATAGAATAGAATAGAATAGAATAGAATTCTTTATTTGGCCAAGTGTGATTGGACACACAAGGAATTTGTCTTCAGTGCATATGCTCTCAGTGTACATAAGGAGAATAAAATACACTCATCAAGAATAAAAAGATAGAATACTTAATGATAGTTATAGGGAAACAGTCAATATAAATCTTAAGGATACCAGCATCAAGGTTACAGTCATACAGTCATAAGTGGGAGGAGATGGGTGATAGGAATGATGAGAAGACTAATAGTAATAGTAATGCAGACAGTGAATAGTTTGACAGTGTTGAGGGAATTATTTGTTTAGCAGAGTGATGGCGTTTGGGAAAAAATTGTTCTTGTGTCTATTGTTCTGGTGTGCAGTGCTCTATAGCGTCGTTTTGAGGGTAAGAGTTGAAACAGTTTATGTCCAGGATGCGAGGGGTCTGTAGATATTTTCACAGCCCTCTTTTTGACTCGTGCAGTATACAGGTCCTCAATGGAAGGCAGGTTGGTAGCCATTGTTTTTTCTGCAGTTCTAATGATCCTCTGAAGTCTGTTTCTGTCTTGTTGGGTTGCAGAACCAAACCAGACAGTTATGGAGGTGCAGATGACAGACTCAATAATTCCTCTGTAGAACTGGATCAGCAGCTCCTTGGGCAGTTTGAGCTTTCTCTGTGTGTAAGTGAGAGTGTGTGTATGAGGGAGTGGCGGGGGGGAGTTTGTGCCATTAGTGGAAAAACAACCATTCCTTTTTTGCAAAGCTGTAGCAGGCTGGAAAGGAAAGAACAGTTTCTGCATATCTGAATGCATTGATTTTTGGTAAAAGAAAAAGCAGGGTTCCATTAGACGTACACAGAGTGCCTTTTCCTTTAAAAGGACGGGAGATCAACCCTTCCTCCTCCAGATTGGAGTTTAAAGACTCCTCTGACAGGCCAGATTTCCACCAGTGCCTCTCCTGGCATAAATTCACCCAAACACTAAAATTTGCAAAAAGTTTGCAAAAAGAGGAAACTGAGGAGGATTCCTCAACGTGCAACACTCCTCCCCCCACCTTTCCAAAAATGCCTTTCAGCCAACCGGGACCCAATCGGGGGCTCCCTGGCATATTCCATTCAACACCCCCCCACCCCCACCCCCCAAATTACACGTGATTTCTTCCTTGCAAGTTTTGGCATCCTCCGGGGATTCGGATGTGTCTGCATTTCCTGTGCTGAGTTTGCTTTGCAAGGCAGAAGAAGCAAAGAAGTGGCTGGAAAGAAAGAAACAGCTGTTTTTCCTGATAGCAGCTGAGGAAGACTTCGGATGCTAAGATGGGAGGCATATAAATCAAAATCAAATCAAATAACAAATAGATAGATGAGAGAGAGAGAATGAAAGAGAGAGAGAGAGAGAGAATGAGAGAGCAAAAGAGAAAGAGAGAGGGAGAGACAAAATGAGAGAGAAAGAGAGAGATGATAGGGAGGGAGGGAGGGAGGAAGGCAAAAGGGAGGGAAGAAAGAAGGAAAAAGCAAAAGCTGAAGAAGCGTCTTGGACGGGGAGTGAAACATCTTCAAAGAAAAACCAGAAAGTTCAGAAAAACCAGAAAAGAGAGGGGAGGGGAGGGAGAGAAGGCAAGAAAGAAAAGAAAGAAGGCTGTGATTTTCCTTCAAATCATCCTTGGCCTGACTAATTTAGTCTCTCCCACCCCAGGTCCTACCTTGCAGGGAGGGGAGGATGAGGATGCTAAGAAAATTGGAGGAAAATCAAACAGGCGCCCTTAAATTCTTCGGGTTAAGGAACCAATGAAAGGAATGTCAGAAAGGGGTAAGATCTGAATCTTTTACTTTTTGGGTGGGGGTGAGACACTGGGCAGGTGGGGGGGGTTCTGCCTAAGCAGGGGGTTGGACTAGAAGACCTCCAAGGTCCCTTCCAACTTCGTTATTCTATTCTATTCTATTCTATTCTGTTCTGTTCTATTCTATTCTATTCTATTCTATTCTATTCTATTCTATTCTATTCCAAATGGGTAGTTTGTCTCTCAGCAGCCCCCACCCTTAAGGGCAAAATAAATACCAGAGGCGACCTTTCTCCTGCATTTACTTTTGTTTAATCCCCCGCATTTTGCATTTGCATTTTTTGCAGCTGCATTTTGGCCAGCCAGATTTCCAATCAAGAACTTCCAATGTCCCATCGGCAAACTTTTTCCTTTGTGTATGTGTATGGGAGGGGGGGAGCGGGGAACAAGACCGTGCCCCCTGCCCACCCCTGCCAGAGGACCCTCCGGAATCTCAGCAGAATCCAAACCAGCCTTGCCCTGACTTAGGCTCCCATCTTTCTTGACCAGCCTGGCTGGGAATGATGGGCTTTGCAATTCACACCTCCAGAAAACCCCCAAGCTGGAAAAGACGGCCCCCAGCACCCCAAGAAGCAGGATGGGGTGGAAAAGGGACCTCCAGACCCAGCAGTGTTGAGTGTTGTCTTTGCACAAGTACAGATATGGGGGAAGATTCTCTCCTTACCTGGTTTTCCTTTGGAGTTTTTCTCTCCTTGCTTCTCCCTGGGAGGAACGGATTTTCCGACCGGCCGGCTGGCTGCTTATGGGCCTCTAATGAGCTCCGTCAGCCGGCCTTCTCTTCTCCCCCCACTTGGTTCCCTCCTCTCTCTCTCTCTCTCTCTCTCTCTCTTTCTCTGTCTCTCCTCCCAAACTTGCAAAGGAAATGGGAGACTTTGCCAAAAACTACACTGCATAGGAAGGAATGGATGGGTGTTTGAGCAGCAGCGCAGCCAGGACGCTGAGCAGGGGTGAGGATGTGTGGATGGGCATCCTGTCTGGATGTCCCTGGGATGGGTCAGGAGAAGAAGAGAAAGGAGGAAAGGGGAGGGGGGGTGGAAAAAGTCATGGACGAAGGAAAACCCTCCATAAAAATCTGTGTTTTTCAACACTTTAAGACCCGCGGACCAAGGGGTGAAATCCAGCAGGTTCGGACAGGTTCTGGAGAACCGGTAGCGGAAATGTTGAGCGGTTCGGAGAACCGGCAAATACCACCTCTGGCTGGCCCCAGAGTGGGGCGGGAATGGGGATTTTGCAGTATCCTTCCCCTGGAATGGGGTGGGAATGGAGTTTTGCAGTATCCTTCTCCTGGAGTTGGGAGGGAATTGGGATTTTGCAGTATCCTTCCCTGGAGTGGGGAGGGAATGGGGATTTTGCAATATCCTTCCCCTGGAATGGAGTGGGAATGGAGATTTTGCAGTATCCTTCTCCTGGAGTGGGGAGGGAATGGGGATTTTGCAGTATCCTTCCCCTGGAGTGGGGAGGGAATGGGGATTTTGCAATATCCTTCCCCTGGAGTGGAGTGGGAATGGAGATTTTGCAATATCCTTCCCCTGCTACGCCCACCATGCCACGCCCACAGAACCAGCAGGGAAAAATTTTGGATTTCATCCCTGCCGCGGACTTCAATTCCCAGAATTCCCTAGCCCCCGGTGTATTGTTCTGCTGCTAAAGAGCTCTATAGCTCATCACCCTGATCAAAATGCAATTGTTGTAAGCATCCCATTTCTAGTTTTCTTCTGAGTTGGAAAGGAGCTTTCAGTGTTTCTCAACTTGGCGCCTTTTAAGATGTCTGGACATCAACTCCCAGAATTCCCCAGCCAGCCAATGGTTGCAGCTTCCCAGGGTCATGTGATCGCTATTTGTGACCTTCCCAGCTGGCTTTCGCTTAACGACTGGAAGGTTCAGTGAACAATTGCAGCGGGTTCGCTGAGCAACCGCAAGAAAAAGATGGTTAAAATCAAACATGACTCACTTAGCAATCGTCTTACAGTCATGGAAATTCTTGTGATTGCAAGCCGAGGACTTCTTTAGGTGAATTTGTTTTGTTTGTGGTGGGCTGTTAGCCCTGGAGAGATGCCACAAAGGGCTGGAATTACTTAACATCGTGCCCTTTGTTATGAAAACGCAGTGGCACACTTTCCTATCCCATGCAATGCCCTAAACTGATCGTCTTCAAGTTTCGTGTCATGCCCCGGTCACAGAACATGCTACAATCACAGCAGGATTTTCACCACAAGCTCAGCCACAAAACAGTGCAACCCTGTTATGTCGTGGCCGGGCAGCTGAATGTGTGCCAAGGTTTATACAGAACGGTGTCTGCATGTCTGGGCGTCAGCTGCGAGGACACCGCCACCGAGCATGGCAAGAGGGCCTTTTGTTTATGGAGTGAACATAAGTTTCTCGACGTGCATCAAAAATTAATGGGAAAGAATTCCTGGCTGTGAGTCCAAGCAGGGTGGGGTCCCAGCGTAAATACACAGATTTCTGTCTGCAAGTAGGGAGTCGACCGAAGAGCAACCAACAGCTTCCCGCTGAACGGAAGCACAGAAATGAAGCCTTGGAAACTGCTGAATGTAGGTTGTGTCAAGAGCGATTGTGGCTTGGGTGTATGTGCACGCATACCTGCTTTAAAAGGTGCTCCTGCGGCACAGCTGCCCTTATTTTTCCATACTCCCCTCTTTGACTGTCAATAATCAATATCTGATGTTCGGCCATGGAGGAGATGAAATGGTGGAATTGACAGGAATTGTTGCAGAAGGCAGAAGACCCTGTCAACCTTCCCCGCTTCCCGTTCCCATGGAGTTTTATTAGGGGTGAAATGCTACTGGTTCGCACCAGTTCGGGCGAACCGGTAGTAAAAAAATACTACCAGTTTGTCAGAACCGGTATTTCCGATGATCAGCTGTGCTGCACAATTAAGCAGGTGATCTAAATCGCGTGGCACAGCTGATTCCCCCCCCCTCGCTGTGCTACTTACCTTCTTAAGCGTCCTTTTTCCGTGGGAAGCGCACATTTGATGCGCACTGGTCACACGTGTGCGCACAGCATGTATTTGGCATACATTGTGCATGCCCATGCAGTGTGCATTTGGTGCGCACTGCATATGCACACACACACAGAATGCGTTTGGCATGCACCATGCATTTGCATGTGCAGCATGCATTTGGTGCGCATCGCACATGCTCAGGCAGCGAACTGGTGGCAAACCGTGGAGGATTTCACCACTGGGGTTACCCCCCACCCTCCAGGCAGTTGGAAGTTCATGAACCCTGAACCTGTCCAGGCTTCATAGCTCTGTTAGCGCATAACACACTGCTTGGATGCTGCTGCCATCCTCTTTCAGGACACCTGGAAGTCATTCATTTGTCCTTGGCTGAATGAAGAACATCTGGACTTTTTCTCCCTTTAAGCCATGAAATAAAATCTACGGCTGACACATAGGACATAGTGTCACATGTGTGCCACTGTACATTACGCATGCGTGTGTTCCACTATCGGCATCCGGGACCAGTTGGTCGCATTTTTAAAAAATCAGCTGCATGTGGCAATCAGGAGACGTTCTGCGTGTTTTCCAGCTGTGATAGTCACATCTGGATGAGGTCACCCGCTAGCTAACCATTGCAGACGCTGCTCTTCGCCAGCTGTCTCCATGAAACTCCTCCCTGCTGTGGAGTGTGTGTGTCTGTGTGTGTTTCCCAGAAGGGTGTGTTGTTCTTCTGCTGAGATCAGAGGAGACACACGAGACGGGGGTAAGACAGTTCAAGCAGGAACCATCCCACCCACCCCAGGAAAGAGACGAGATGCCCTTCTATTTTTCTTTTTCTTTTTCTTTTTAAATAAGTTTCTTTTTATTTTGGCTTATTTACATTTTTGTTAATTATAGTGATTGTAGTTGTAAACCATCTCTCTTTTTAATACCAACATTAATAGTCTTTCTTGTTCTGATTTCTACCTCTTGTCTCTAATCACTCATAAAATCTATTCCATATTAAATAATATTCTGTGTCTTCTTCATCTTTCATTTTTAAAGTTAGCCTATTCATTTCAGCACAGTCTAAAATTTTTCAAATTACTTCCTCATCTGGCGGGGTGTTCTCATTTTTCCAGTATTTTGCAAATATGATCCTTGCTGCGGTCAATATATGTAAAACTAAATATGTGGCCCCTTTATCATAACCCTCCGGCATTATGCCCGACAAATATATTTCTGGTTTCAGATCTATATTCTTTTTAATTATCTTTTCCAGCCAGCTACGTATTTTCTCCCAATGTTTTCTTGCTCTGATACACGTCCACCACATATGATAGTAAGTACCTGGGATCTGATTGCATTTCCAGCATTGGGCAGACAAATTGCTGAACATTTTTGCCAGTCTTGCCGGTGGTAAAACATTTTGTAAAGATTTTCTTTATATGCCGAAGCCATAGTCAATTCTGATCCCTTCCTTGACATGAGAAAAAAAAATTGCAAAAGGGAGCAGATTTGGTTCCTTTGGGCTCGATTCTGCAAAGGCTGTATGGATTCGGCTGTCAGGTTTCGTTGCTATCTTAAATAAACTTCATTCTCAAATGCAAAGTCTCTAATGAATCTCTTTTATTTAAGAATAGAAAAAACGACATGCCTGAACTCTGATGCAGCCAAGATTGGCACCTCCTTCCAAACCCCTCCCTTTCCGTTCTTCAACCCCAATGTCTCATTGGCCACCATCCAGATCCATCTCTTCGTCCCATGCACTTTCTTTTCACAGGAATTTTCCCCCTCCCTCTGTTGCCCAAGTAACGCTATCTGCTGAAGAGCCAGGAACTAGGTGAAAGTTCATCTCAGCATTAAAGCAAGTCTTTCTGTGATTTCATGTCAGCGCTGAAAGAGATCATAATTTGGAACGCTGACATCGGCTTTCCTCCAAAGAAAATGTGGAAACATATTTTTGTTTTGATGTTGAGTTTTTAACTGGTTTTTAAAGGGATCCGCTAAGGCTAAGTGGCCCTCCTGAGCTCTGGCAGAGGGTTGCAGGAGGCTGTGGCAGCCAAAAACAGAGCTCGGGAGCGTGCTTTCACTGGCCACCACAGGAGCCCCCGACAGGATTGATCATGTCAAGCTGGCCATGCCCACCCTGTCCCACCACGGTCAAACACAACCCTGATGTGGCCCTCAGTGAAATCGAGTTTGACACCTCTACGCTAAGGATTGTTTTCACGATGCCAGAAGGTCCTGGGATGTTATAATTATTTTATTATTATTTTTTAAAGTGGGTTTATAAAGCGTAATCGAAGTGGGAGCCTCTTCAGAGGGAGGCTGCTCTGGCTGCTCTGGACTGATCTTTTGGAAAGAGCTAAGCAGGGTCAAACTCAGCCCATCGTTGGACATCATGCTTCAAGCGAGATTTGGAAGATGAAAAACCTCCTAGAACCGTGATGGCAAACCTATGGAACGCGTGCCAGAGGTGGCACGCATGCAGAGCTGTCTCTGTGAGCACATGCGCTGTCACCAGTTGGTCATCATAGATGCTGAAGCACTGAAAAGAAGCCTGAAAACAGCCCCAAAAATGGCCTGAAAAACAGCCCCCAAAAATGGCCTGAAAACGGCCCCCAAAATGGCCTGAAAACAGCCCCCAAAATGGCCTGAAAACAGCCCCCAAAATGGCCTGAAAACGGCCCCCAAAACGGCCTGAAAACAGCCCCAAAAATGGCCTGAAAACAGTCCCAAAACAGCCTAAAAACAGCTCCCAAAACGGCCTGAAAACGGCCCAAAAAACGGCCTGAAAATAGCCCGAAAAATGCCCTGAAAATGGCCCCCAAAACGGCCTGAAAAACAGCCCAAAAAATGGCCTAAGAACAGCTCCAAAAATGCCCTGAAAATGACCTCAAAATAGCCTGAAAGCAGCCCCAAAAACGGCCTAAAAACAGCCCCAAAAACGGCCTGAAAACAGCCCCCAAAATGGCCTGAAAAACAACCCAAAAAACGGCCTGAAAACGGCCTCAAAAACGGCCTGAAAACAGCCCCCAAAATGGCCTAAAAAGCCCCAAAATGGCCTGAAAATGGCCCCAAAAACGGCCTGAAAAACAGCCCAAAAAACGGCCTGAAAACAGCCCAAAAAATGGCCTGAAAATAGCCCGAAAAATGCCCTGAAAATGGCCTGAAAAATGGCCAAAACCAGCCAAAAAACAGGCATGCGTGCACCAGTCAGCTGGTCTTCCGGCTTCTAGTGCTCCGGCACACACAAAGACCAGCTCGCTGGCGTGCATGCGCATGCCGGAAATATGAAGACCAGCTGGCCGGCACGCACATGCACACTAGTGAGCTGGTCTTCAGTTTTCCGGTGCTCAGGTGCACGCACATACACACCCGTTTCAGTTTGGGCACTCGGTGCTGAAAAGGTTCGTCATCACTGTCCTAGAAGATTCTCTCTTTTGCCAACAAAATATGCCTGCAGAATCAACAGGAGTTGAGACTGAGAGGGACTTTCTGATTGTACAACCCTTGGCTAGTTCAGGTGTCAGCAACCTGAGGCTCTGGAGCTGCATGTGGCTCTTTCACCCCTCTGCTGCATCTCCTTGTCACTCAAAATATGCGTCACAACCGCCAATGTGCGACACCCGCCAGCACATGATTTATTGAGCTTTTCAACCCCCGGTAGGCCAACCATGGATAAATCCAAGAAAAGAAAAGTTTCAGAAGAAAACAGGACGTTTAATTCAACTACATATGCCACTCAAGAAATAGTCAGGCACCGGAAGGGTTTTGTGGCTCCCGGTGTTTTCTTTTCTGTGGGAAACAAGTCCAAATGGCTCTTTGAGTGTTTAAGGTTGCAGACCCCTGGGCTTGTGGAAAAGGCTGGGCCCATGAAATGTTTGGGTTCTCCATTGGCCGCAGATCTTCAGAAGATGGATGGTGATCTGCCAGAGATGACTTAAGTGGAAGTTGGGCCTGGTGGCTCAGCAGACTAATAGCATTGTGATTAACATCAGCTGCCTGCAATTACTGTAAGTTCGAATCTCGCCAGGCTCAAGGTTGACTCAGCCTTCCATCCTTTCTAAGGTAGGTAAAATGAGGTCCCAGATTGTGGGGGCAATAAGCTGATTTTTTATAAATATACAAAAGTATGAAGGCTATTGCTTAATGCATTGTAAGCCGCCCTGAGTCTCCGGAGAAGGGCGGCATATAAATCGAATTAAAAAAAAAAAAGTTTGGTTAGATGACCTTTGGGATCCCTTCCAACTCCACAATCTAGGATTCTAGGACAGAGAGAGACCCTTGATCTGTTTGCAATCTATAATTCAATAGAGACAGAAGTGGAGCCCAGAAGGAGAGTCAACGGAGGGGACTTTAGGAGTGATTCCCCGGAGATATTTCCGGGGCACAACCGGTAATGACTTGCTGCGAGATGAACAGATCAAAGGATCTTCTGGACTGGGAATTCTCCTGGTTGCCTCCAACTGTTCCTCCCTCCCTCCTTCTTTCTGGTCCAGGCACTGGGTGGGTGGGGTTCCTCAAGGCAGGAAGCACTCCAGGGGGTTGTTGGAATCAGGCAGGATGCTGCAGTTTAAGGGCCAGAGGATGTCCAAACGGGCCAGGGGCTTTCGGCAGTGCTCCTCCGCCTCCAGACACACGGAGCGACAAGGCTGCAAGGTGCCACCTTCCGGGATGCACTTGGGGACGAAGAGGCTGCAGATCAGCAAACGCAGGTAAGGGTAGCACCTGAGGTCCCGCAGCATCTGAAAAAAAGGGGGCTGAGCTCAGTCAGGTGCTGGGAATTTAGGAATTCCTTGTGTTGCAGGTCTGAGCTTCTATTCATGTCACCAGCTGGGCCACCCTCTTGAGGGACGAACGCTACCGTGCAATTCACTAAAGAAGAGAGTCAGTTGTTAGGTTCCCTAGAGGCCATCCATTCGAGCCCGACTTAAGTATGGTGCACCAGAATCCCAGCCTTCTGCCTGCAACATCCATAAAGGACGATTCAAAGCCTGCTTGGAGATCCTTGTTTCCTGATCTGGCCTGTCTCGAACGGCCCACACATTCCACAGTATTGACCTCGAGATGAATTTTCAGCGGCTGCTTTTCTCTCCCTACCAACCTCCCCCATTTTTTTCTACCCTTTTTTTTGCCCCAAGGAAAAGATCTCCAGATTTTTTTAATGCTGTCATCTCCCGGGGTTGATTTCCATAAAAGTTGAAAGAAAAGGACTTTGTACAGAAAATGGAGAAAGAATTGGCTTTCTTTTTTAAAGAAAATAGAAAAGAGGACACATCAATGCAAAATCGTTGGGATACTATGAAAGCTTATGCTAGAGGTCTGATAATTGACTAGACAAGGAAAAGAAATATTAAGAAAAGGCAAGTTTATAAAACATTAGAGGATGACTATAAGAAATTTGAAAAAGAACTACAAAACTTCCCACATTAAAATGAAAATGGACACAATTAAACATAAAATGGGATTAATAGAAAAAGAAGATTTAGCACAAAAAATTAGAAGAAGAAAAAAACAGAATTATTTTGAAGATGCTAATAAACCAGGTAGATGGCTAGCATATAAATTGAAAAAAGAGAGAGAATCAAGGAAAATAACATAGTTAGTGGATGACCAAGGACAAATTAGATTTGGGAATGAAGAGAAGAAAAATATTATACAAATTTATTATAAAAAATTATATGAAAAAAAAAGTGGAGCGCTTCTTTTGAACTGGACCTAAGAGCTGTTGCCATGACTAAGGTCTACAGGTAGACTTGCAAACATTCATTTAGTGACCATTCGAAGCTACAACGAGTGAAAGAAGCGAGTTATGACCGGTCTTGCACTTATGACTGCCTCAGCATCCCCATGGTAAAAATCCAGGCGCTTGGCAACCAGAATGTATTTATGGTGGTTGAAATATCCCATGATCACCACGTGTGATCTTCCCAGCTGCCTTCCGACAAGCATATTCAACGGGGGAACCAGATTTGCGAATTGAGGACCTTCTGTATAAAGCTGGGAATGTGCAGAAGTCATTCTCATGCACGTATTATTAGCCAAATTCCACCCAGGTCTTGGTATCTCATCATACTATGGGAAATTAATCTTGAATTGTCCATGCGTTGATAGGGATGAAAATCAATAAGAGATTTGCTTTCCATGCAATCCCCACTCTGTGGAGATCGCGAGTTCCTTCCCAAAGGTTAACCCCAGGGGTGAAAAGCTCCCGGTTCGGACCGGATCAGGCGATCCGGTAGCAATTGTGGCAGGTGGTTCGGAGAACCGGTAGCGATGGCGGCGCAAGGCTCCGCCCACCTGCCCGTGTATCGTTACTTCCTGCTTTTAAAAGGTTAAAAAAAAAGGATCTGACAATCGCGTGGCACAGCTGTGCTCGTCAGAGCCTTTTTTTACCTTTTAAAAGCATTTTTTTACAACTATATAGGTTGTAAAAAAATGCTTTAAAAAAGAAAAAAAAAGTTGGCCACGCCCACCCAGTCACATTACCCCCACCCCCACCAAGCCACGCCCACAAAACCGGTAGTAACAAATCTTACATTTCACCACTGGTTAACCCCGCTTTTCCCCCTCTCTCTGCCCTCCTGCCAGCCTCACATCTGCCCTCAGCCTCACCATGTAGTCTTGTAGCAGCTCCTCAGCACTCTGTTGGTGGGGGATCATCAGCCAGATGTTGGGGAAGGAGGTGGAATTGTAGCTGAGACCTTGGCACATTTCTATCTTTATGGGTTCACAGGAGGCCTCTGCCAGTGGTGGGAGAGAAGACAACATCTCAGAGACTAACCAGAATACAACTGAAAGGAGTTAAGTTGCCCCTCTGCTTTTGTTGTTCTCCAGAATTCACACATCTGGTCTCCTGTTGGTGCCTCAGGTTCAGGGGTGAAATCCAGCAGGTTCTGGAGAACCGGTAGCGGAAATTTTGAGCAGTTCGGAGAACCGGCAAATGCCACCTCTGGCTGGTCCCAGAGTGAGGTGGGCATGGAGATTTTGCAATATCCTTCCCCCAGGAGTGGGGAGGGAATGGGGATTTTGCAGTATCCTTCCTCTGGAGTGGGGTGGGAATGGAGATTTTGCAGTATCCTTCCCCCAGGAGTGGGGAGGGAATGGGGATTTTGCAGTATCCTTCCCCTGGAGTGGGGAGGGAATGGGGATTTTGCAGTATCCTTCCCCTGCCACCAAGCCACACCACACGCACCAAGCCATGCCCACAGAACCGATAATAAAAAAATTTGAAATTCACCACTGCTCAGCTTGGTTTTTCTCACCAGCTGAAGGCCAGGAGAAAAAGGAGGATGGGTGTGTGTGTATGTGCGCCTGGATGGGTGAGAGAGTGTAGTTGACCCACCTAGGAAGTTGGTTGAGATCAGAGGTGAGGTCTGAACCGCGGACCTTGCGATGTGTAGTTCTGCAAATTGGCCAGTGAAGGCAGCTTGGTCCACATAAGTGGACATTACTCACCCACTGATGTGGAAGAAATGCTGGTACAGTTGACTTCATCACTTCCATCCGGACAGTTCCTCCAGCTGTCACACGCAAACTCCTGAGCCACACACTCGCCATTTCCACAGACAAATTCTAGAGGTCCACACGTTTCTTGCACGGGATGATGGGCGGGGAAAAGAGAGAAGAATTTAGAGAAAAGAATTCCTTGGACTTTCAAGATCAGCGTTTCTCAACCTCGGCAGCTTGAAGATGAATTCAAGTCTCAGAGTTCAGAACTGCCTGGGGAACTCTGAGGGCTGAAGTCCACCCATCTTCAAGCTGTTAAAGGTGAGGAACACTGCTTAAGTTGGTGAAGATGTCTACTTAGAGTTGATGTCCACTCATCCTCAAGCTGCCAAGGTTGAGAATCATTGTTCAAGTTGGTGAAGTTGTCCACTTGGCCTTGAAGTCTATCCATCTTCAAGCTGCCAAGGTTGAGAATCATTGTTTAAATTGGCGAAGTTGTCCACTTGGCCTTGAAGTCCATCCGTCTTCAAGCTGCCAAGGTTGAGAATCATTGTTTAAATTGGTGAAGTTGTCCACTTGGCCTTGAAGTCCATCCATCTTCAAGCTGCCAAGGTTGAGAATCATTGTTCAAGTTGGTGAAGTTGTCCACTTGGCCTTGAAGTCCATCCGTCTTCAAGCTGCCAAGGTTGAGGAGCACTCCTTAAGATGGTGAAGATGTCTACTCTGCCCACGTTGTATTTCTGGCTTTTTTCTTTGAAGCCAGAGATTCCCCAAAACAAATCCAGATTATTCTCATACCTTGCTTGAAAATAGCCACCTCAATTCTTCAGTTTTTTAAAAAAATACACCCCAGAACATCTGGGAAAATGCACTGCATATAGCACAGGCACAAAGCTCGGCCTTAGCACAACCTGTTGGCCCCAGTTTGGCCAGGAAACAATTCACAAGTGTTCACAACACTTCACTTAGATCCATTGATTTGAAGTCAGAGATTCATTGTCTCCAGCCAGACTGCTATCTCCTTAATCTCGGCTGAGGTCCTGTAGAATCAGGCTGCTTGAAGTAGTGACTTATTAACTGTTTAGACCCTGGCCTGCCAGTGAAGTGGCCATGCGTGAAAGTTAAAAATTAATGTTTGTATCTTTCAAAGCCGGATTCTAGGCAACAGTTTACAGAAGGATGGACTTCTGTTTTTTGTCCGATTAGATCACCTGCCCACGTGGCTTGCACCTTTAACACTTTTGCTGTGACTTTCTTACCAACACTTAGGATAATATAGTAGAAGACAAGGATCAGTGGTGAAATCCAATTTTTTTTACTACCGGTTCTGTGGGCATGGCTTGGTGGGCGTGGCAGGGAAAGGATACTGCAAAATCTCCATTCCCTCCCCACTCTGGGACCAGCCAGAGGTGGTATTTGCCGGTTCTCCGAACTGCTCAAAATTTCCGCTACCAGTTCTCCAGAACCTGTCAGAACCTGCTGGATTTCACCCCTGCACAGGATGTCCACTTATGCAATGCTTAAAAATCCCCCCCCAATTATTAATTGGAAAATTAGAATTTGAATGATAGTATTATTAAACAAGCATAAAAATATGTTAGAATTAAATAATGGGTGATTAGAAAATGAAAGAATGTACTGTAAGAAAAATATGTGTGGAAATGCTATTATCACATCTTTGAATATTATAGTGACAGGAGGGGGAGAAAAGTTAAAATAGAGATAGAAATAAGAGGGGAATTATTGTATGTATGTATCAATATATCAAGTAATATGACAGAGTAAGAAAAAGGTTTAGAATTGAATGATGGTAGTAAAGGATATGTGAAAATAATATGAAAAAATTGAAATGAAGTGTAACAATTGGGCGTAATAATATTGTGTTTACTTTTATTGAAATGTATGATACTTGGCTATCACACCATTGACGCATTGATATGCATAAACAATATAAAATAAAAAAACTTGGATAAAAAAAAAGGAACAGAAGGAAGTGCAACATGCCTTCAAGAGAATACCAGAGAAGACAGCAATTTAGGTCATTTCCTTGTTAATGATTTCTGTCGTTTTATTCTGTTGTTCAGCTACCTCTTCGGCAGGGGTGAAATCCAGCAGGTTCTGACAGGTTCTGCAAAACCGGTAGCGGAAATTTTGAGTAGTTCGGAGAACCGGCAAATACCACCTCTGGCTGGCACCAGAGTGGGGTGGGAATGGGGATTTTGCAGTATCCTTCCCCCAAGAGTGGGGAGGGAATGGGGATTTTGCAGTATCTTTCCCCTGGAGTGGGGTGGGAATGGGGATTTTGCAGTATCCTTCCTCTGCCACGCCCACCAAGCCACACCATGCCCACCAAGCCACACCCACAGAACCGGTAGTAAAAAAATTTGGATTTCACCACTGGTAATTTATATTGAAGGCTTTGAATCGTTGCAGGGAAGGCGGATGACGAGGCAACGTGGTGAGATCAGTTCGAAAAGCCTGCTGAGAACTGGAGATGACCTTCGGTGCTTTTGAGATTGTGCAATTCGATCCGTTATCAAAAATTTGCACCCTTATCCTCAACCTCGGTCACTGGAAGAGGAGTGGGGCTCCCAACTCCCAGAGCTCCTCAGCCAGCAAGGCTGGGAACTGAAGTCTACACATCTTTTAAAAGTTGCCAAGGTTGTGAAACACGGATTCCGTCTGTCTTTCTATCGACCTAATTATGTAATTGGATATACAGTCTTTCTGCTTATATAAACACAACCCCACACATCTTGTGAATGGGGAGGAGGACTTCCCAAAAGGTCTTTTCTAGTTTGCCTGGGAAAATGGAACCATAATTACAGGAATTAAGAAACCAAAACTGTGTTCCATCTCAGAAAGAACAGAGCTCGGGAACAAGCGACCACAAGGCTTCTCATGAGACCTGGACCGAGTTCAGCCTTTCTCTGCTTGGCTGGGTCACCTGAATAATTTATAGAGGGGGAGGAGGGGGAAGGAGGAGGAGGACCTTTTGTGCTCTCAGACCTTGGTTGTTGTTGTTTTTTTTTAATTTGATTTATATGCCGCCCTTCTCCGGAGACTCAGGGCGGCTTACAATGCGTTAAGCAATAGCCTTCATACTTTTTGTATATTTATACAAAGTCAGCTTATTGCCCCCACAATCTGGGTCCTCATTTCACCTACCTTAGTAAGGATGGAAGGCTGAGTCAACCTTGAGCCTGGTAAGATTCGAACCTGCAGTAATTGCAGGCAGCTGGATGTTAATAACAGGGTGCTTTCGACCACTGTGCTACCAAGGCTCTTGGTTTTCTTGCAGATGTTTCGTGGCTCAACTAGGGAACATCCTCGGCGTACCGATACTGTGCCCTAGTTTGATCATTAAACGTCTGCAAGAAAACAACCAAGCTCAGAGAACACCAGGGACCCCAGAATATTCCCACCAATACTGACAGGGTAGCCTATGCAGTGGTGGGATTCAGCCGGTTCGTATCAGTTCGGGCAAAGTGGTAGCGGAGATCGTGGGTGGGCCTGCCGAACCGCCATGGCACTAGTTCTACTTAGCACGTTTTTTAGGCTGGGCACATACGTGGAAGGCACGCCCGTGAGCAAAGGGCGTGCACGGAAGGCGTGCATGTGTGTGAAGCGAGCGTGCACCCATGCGGTGAACCGATGGTAAGAATCTTTGAAACCCACCTCTGAACCTATGATATATAAACAGAGAGTAACCCACCCGCTTTTCTAGCACTAGATGAAGTTACCTAATTGGATAATGAAACATCTGCAAGAAACTACCAAGCTCAGAGAGCATCATGGACCTCAAAGTTCCATCCTGAGCTTCAAATATTCTCTTCTCTTCTTTCTGCATTTCCTTTTTTTTGTTTTTCTTTTGGTTTATTTCCCAGGACAGCTACCCCTCCAATTGTTAACCCTGCTTAGCTTCCCATTCCAGGTCAAATCTACCCAGGGGTGAAATGCTCCTGGTTCAGACCAGTTCAGCTGAACTGGTAGCGATGGCGGCTGGTGTTCGGAGAACCGATAGCAATCATGACACGAGACTCCATACACACCCCGGTCGTCATTACTTCCTGGTTTTAAATAGGAAGTAACCTGTTTTTTACCCTCTGCACATGTGCAGAAGGGTTTGTGTATGCGCAGAGGGTCCAAGCACACACTTGATGTGCGTGCACACGCAAGCGAACTGAGAGTGTACACATGGCATGTGCACTTCTGAACTGGTTGGGAAGGTAAGTAGATTTCACCCGTGGGTCTACCCCTTATTTGGGGCAAGGGGTGAGCAGATGACTACTGTGCCCTAGTTTGATCATTAAACGTCTGCAAGAAAACAACAAGCTCAGAGAACACCAGGGACCCCAGAATATTCCCACCAATACTGACAGGGTAGCCTATGCAGTGGTGGGATTCAGCCGGTTCGTATCAGTTCGGGCAAAGTGGTAGCGGAGATCGTGGGTGGGCCTGCCGAACCGCCATGGCACTAGTTCTACTTAGCACGTTTTTTTAGGCTGGGCACATACGTGGAAGGCACGCCCGTGAGCAAAGGGCGTGCACGGAAGGCGTGCATGTGTGTGAAGCGAGCGTGCACCCATGCAGTGAACCGATGGTAAGAATCTTTGAAACCCACCTCTGAACCTATGATATATAAACAGAGAGTAACCCACCCGCTTTTCTAGCACTAGATGAAGTTACCTAATTGGATAATGAAACATCTGCAAGAAACTACCAAGCTCAGAGAGCATCATGGACCTCAAAGTTCCATCCTGAGCTTCAAATATTCTCTTCTCTTCTTTCTGCATTTCCTTTTTTTTGTTTTTCTTTTGGTTTATTTCCCAGGACAGCTACCCCTCCAATGTTTAACCCTGCTTAGCTTCCCATTCCAGGTCAAATCTACCCAGGGGTGAAATGCTCCTGGTTCAGACCAGTTCAGCTGAACTGGTAGCGATGGCGGCTGGTGTTCGGAGAACCGATAGCAATCATGACACGAGACTCCATACACACCCCGGTCGTCATTACTTCCTGGTTTTAAATAGGAAGTAACCTGTTTTTTACCCTCTGCACATGTGCAGAAGGGTTTGTGTATGCGCAGAGGGTCCAAGCACACACTTGATGTGCGTGCACACGCAAGCGAACTGAGAGTGTACACATGGCATGTGCACTTCTGAACTGGTTGGGAAGGTAAGTAGATTTCACCCCGTGGGTCTACCCCTTATTTGGGGCAAGGGGTGAGCAGATGACTAGCTGCATCATTTAGCCTCGACGGAGCCACCATTACCTACTTTCACTCAGGTTGTGGGCACGGTAGACAGCAAAGAACCCATCATCCACAATCTCCTCGTCAGCCACAAACAGGACGGTCATGACGTGTTGGGATGAAGTCAACACAGGAGGCGGATTGGAGTTGCAGAACCTGCAGAGAGCAGGGAAGTCAAACTCAGTTCTGGAAATGTGGGGCGGGGGTCTTTAGGGGTCAACCAAGAACCTGGAGCCAAGGTGAGCATGCCCGCCTGGGTTATTCCACAAGGAGCACAGGAGTGTGTGTTGACCACATCACAAATGACACCATTCGACAACATTTTGGTGTGGCACCAATTATAGAGAAGATGAGAGAAGGCCGACTCCGCTGGTATGGACATGTCCTGAGAGCAGCACCTTCCACCGTGGCCAAGACTGCCTACCAACTAGAAGTCAATGGCCGACGACCTTGTGGGCATCCAAAACAGAGATGGCAAGATGCCATCAACAAAGATATGCAAGCCGCAGGCCTGCACCACGGAGACGCAGCTGACAGTGCAAAGTGGCTTTCAATAATCTGAAAAGCGGACCCTGCACCTGTGGGAATACGCTAGGAAGAAGAAGAAGCAAGGGAGTGTTGTGCGTGGGTGTTGTGGCCCATCAGTGGCCTGTGCAGCTAGTAGCTGATTCTGACAGTGAGGAGGCTGGTGTGGTGCTGCACCAGTAGGTTGTTCAGCTGGCACTCGAGTCAGACAATGAGGAGGCTGGAGAAGATGTGGTGCCAGAGACGGGGATTCAGCCAGGGCCTTCAGAACCTCCAGAAGCTGCCTTAAGTGAAAAGGACGAAGAGGAGGAGCCTCTTCTCGATGCACGGGCGCGCAGAGCTGCCAAAAGGCAGGAATGGCTCCTCAGGAGGAGATGTCCTCGAGAGTAAGGCTTGGGGCTAATTGGCCACTCCCTTAGCCTATTTAAGGAGGAATGCCAACTGAAGCAATTTGCAGGGAACAACTTCGTTCACTCTCCTTCGCGTCTTGATCTTAGTTCTCTGCAAATTGCTTCTGGGCTTTCTGCCAACCATAGTAAGATTACGATTATTTATTCTTTGGATTCTTGTAAGAATCTCGTAAGAAAGTTAATTAACAGCCTTTGTTTGAAAAAGACTGATTTAATTTAGTAAACTAAGTTTTGTACGGACTTTGTGTGTGCTGCGTTCTTTGGGGTCCCTAGCTGGGGCAGAACAGTGGGTGTGCAAGAGCCCATCTTACCGACCCATGAGGCTGCTGGCCCCCATGGCAGCACTGTCGTACACCTCCACGAAGTCGAAATTGCAGTCTTCGTGGGACTCAAGGCTGAAGTTGTGGAATTGCAGCTGGATGACGTGATCCACAGGCACGGAGATGTGCCAGAGACAAATCTGGAAGAGAAGAGAAGAAGAGAAGTCCAGGAGATGCGCAGAGAGAGGAGGATGGGGAGCTCCATGCTAAGAAAGAGAGGCGTCACAAGGGTGGGTAAAAACCTGGAAGAGGGTCCCAAACCTTTTCTCCTAGCAGCCCCCTAGATTTCTTTGAACATGGACGTGTCGTTGGTTGGGGGAAGAGGGGCCTGAAGACAAAGGCCTCAAAATCATGGGAACTGGACCTCTTTTCTTTTTGGGTTGGAATCTTCATCGACGTGAACATGAAGAATGAATCCAAAAGAGAGTTGTGATGGAAGGGTTTGCTCTGTCATGACCCAGGTTCTTGCGTATGGGGCTGTTTTTTCTCCCTTACTCAGACTCCATCACTGTAGGAGGCCCATTTTTTAAAACCACTGAGGTTTAAATTTCCAAGTGAAAATTTTTCAGACTCAAACTTTTTCACTATCTCTATCTCTCTACCTCTATCTATTTATCTATCTATCTATCTATCTATCTATCTATCTATCTATCTATCTATCTATCTATCTATCTATCTCATATCTATCTATTCATCTATCATCTATCATCTATCATCTATCTATCTATCTATCTATCTATCTATCTATCTATCTATCTATCTATCTATCTATTCATCTATCTATCTATCTATCATCTATCTATTCATCTATCATCTATCTATTCATCTATCATCTATCATCTATTCATCTATCTATCATCTATCTATTCATCTATCTATCAATTATCATCTATCATCTATTAATCTCTATCTATCTATCTATCTATCTATCTATCTATCTATCTATCATCATCCATATCTATCTTATCTAGCTCTGTCTGTCTGTCTGTCTGTCTGTCTGTCTATCTATCTATCTATCTATCTATCTATCTATCTATCTATCTATCTATCACCAGGTCCAATCCTTAGAGGCCAGGCTTCCCCAGAAAGGGATACCACTTAACTGCTGCAGTGATAGAGCTGGGAGGTGGGACTTCTGGGGCAAAATGAATCCCCAAGGCCCAAGCTTGACCCCTCAAAAGTCTTCACTCACCTGTAGATGTGAGTATGGTTTGGGGTAGTTTGGGGAGAAGAACTGTCCCTCCAAGCTGGTCAAACTCCCACCACAACCTGGAAAGAGACAACCGACATCACAGATGGTCGTGGATTTATGTTACTGGCACTTTGCTGGTTATCCCTGCAATATCCTCCCATTTCTTCATTTCTCCAATTTCCTCCTCCTCCTCATGTGAGGCAGAGTCACAGCAACATTTCCTGCTTGTGTGGGTACCATACCTGTATGCTTGGCGCTACAGTTGACTTCATCTCTATTGTCCAGGCAGTCCTGGTGACCATCGCACACAAAGGCTGGCAGGAGGCAGAGCCCCTGGTCACAGAAGAATTCGTCCCAGGAGCAGTTCTCTAGAATAAATATAGGCCTCTGGAAGTCAAGGAGTTAAAGGTTCAGATCAAACCCAGTCTACCTTGGAACTGGTTGCAATTCACTTGGCTCCCTTCTTCTTCGAGATACTTTGGGAAATGTGGCTTTGCAAGAATATGAAGGAGAATAAGTAAGGAAAAAAAGGAGGAGGAGGAAGGAGAGGAGGAGGAGAGGAGAAGAAGGAGGAGGAGGAGGAGGAAGAGAAAGAGGAGGAGGAGGAGGAAGAAGAGGAGGAGGAGGAGGAGGATGAAGAGGAGGAGGAGGAGGAAGAAGAAGAAGCTTGGTGGTGCAGCAGATTAAAGCACTGTTATTAACATCAAGCTGTCTGCAATTACTGTAAGCTTGAATCTCACCAGGCTCAAGGTTGACTCAGCCTTCCATCCTTTCTAAGGTAGGTAAATTGAGGACCCAGATTGTGGGGGCAATAAGCTGACTTTGTATAATACAGAAGTATGAAGGCTATTGCTTAATGCATTGTAAGCCACCCTGAGTCTCCGGAGAAGGGCGGCATATAAATCAAATTAAAAAGAAGAAGAAGAAGAAGAAGAAGAAGAAGAAGAAGAAGAAGAAGAAGAAGAAGGAGGAGGAGGGGAGGAGGAGAGGAGGAGGAGGAGGAGGAGGAGGAGGAGGAGGAGGAGGAGGAGGAGGAGGAGGAGGAGAGGAAGAGGAGGAAGAAGAAGAAGAAGAAGAAGAAGAAGAAGAAAGAAGAAGAAGAAGAAGAAGAAGAAGAAGAAGAGGGAGGAGGAGGAAGAGGGGAAGAGAGAGAAGAAGTAGTAGAAGAAGAAGAAGAAGAGGGAGGAGAAGGAGGGGAAGAGGAGGAGGAGGAGGAGGAAGAAGAAGAAGAAGAAGAAGAAGAAGAAGAAGAAGAAGAAGAAGAGAAAGAAGGAAGGAAAGAAGAAAGAAAGAAAAAAAGAAAGAAAGAAAGAAAGAAAGAAAGAAAGAAAGAGAAAGAAAGAAAGAAAAGCACCAGTCCTGTTGTTGCCTGACTCGTGATGCCCACATAACGCTCCGTCTTCATTCTAGCTAATGTCAAAAAAGATTTTAAGCCAGCTTAAAACTGCCACGCAAGCTGTCTTTTGTTTCCCTCACCAATTTAGAACTTTCCCACGTTCTGAGGATAAAATTAGCAAGGCGTCCATGTGACTGTGAGTAATAAATCAGTGCTTGGCTAATTGCGAATGTTCGTTCTGCGAAACATTACGGCAATTTTCCCATTTGGTCATTGATACGGGGGCAACCATTGTCTTCGTCTTGAGATATTTTAGCTGTTATCTGGAGAGATGGCCATTTCCTGCACTGAGGTCTTCTTCTCCAGTCTCCATCCTCAACCACGATGCATTTGATGCACAATAGTCTACATTAGCAGTCACCAACTGTTGGTCCTGGACCACTGATGGACCACAAGAAACTTTTGGTGGTCCGCAGAAAAATTATTTGCATTTTTTTATATTGCACTCAATCAGGGGTCCTCAAACTACGGCCCCTGGGCCAGATATGTGCAATGAACGTTTGTGTTGCTGCAGGAGTCTCCCCCTTCGGGATCTTTTGTCGCGGGTTGGAGGGGGGAAGAAATTCCGACTCGGGGTCTGCTTCGGTCTCCTGGTGAGGGGCTTTGGGTGAAGGCTGGAGGGAAGGCACCGCCGGTGGCGAAGAGCCGGAGGGCCTCGTTCCAGTGGGACTGTATCATGGCCTGGAACTGGCTGACCATCTCAGCCCGCTGAGCCTCCAGGCGCCTTTACCTGGCCTTGCACTCCCGCAGGTCTTCCCTCTTGCGTGGTTTCTCAGTCTCTTTCATGTCATTACCATTACTTCAGGGACAGAAAATCGGGTGGGTTTGAAAAATTTAACAACTGGTTCGCTGCCCAGTTGCTCGGTGGGTGTGGCCATGGGGGGCGTGGCCTACTTGGCCTCCTGCACACACGGTGGGGGGGCGTTTTTGCCCTCCCGAAGCTCTGGAGGCTTCCTCGAGCCTCCAGGAGGGTGAAAATGGCCTCCCCTAGGCTTCAGAGGCCCTCTGGACGCCAGAAATGGGCCCATTTCTGGACTTCCAGCAGGCCGGTTTTTCACCCTCCCGGAGCCTCCGCATGGTCCCTGCACTTACCTGGCATCCAAAACGGGCCACGTGGAGACTCCTGGGAGGGGTGGGGCGGTGTGGGCTGGGGTCAGCCAGTCCTTGTATCTACCAGTTCGGCGAGCCAGATTAAAATTAACATCCGGTTTGCATTTAACTGGTTCGAACCGGCTGAATCCCATCCCTGGGTATCATGTTAAAAAACCCAACTCCCTCCCACCCGAAAGCAAGTTTCCACCAGCCTCAAATTCATCCCCATTCAAGAAATAGCAGGCACTTACTTTCACTGGGGAGGATGGCCCGGTACCTCGCCCTGAACCCCGGAGGGAGCAGTATTATCATCGGACACAAAACCAACTTTTATCTGGTTAGAGTTGGTGTTGATAGTCGCTGGGGCTACAGTGCCACAGTACCTGTAAAAGTCGCCATGTAAGCAAGGGAGCAAGGAACTGTGGACCCCCCCTCTTCCCCCTGGAGAGAGATCTACAGGCAGTCCTCGTTTAGTGACCATTCACAGTGGTGACAATATTGAAAAAATAACGTCACAACGACCAATCCTCACGGTTATGACCTTCACAGATCTGTACAACAAAGCTGAAATGAGATCCTAAGCACAGTTGTGGTTTCAATTAGTGACCGCTTCACTTAACGACTTAACATTTCCACTTTTCCTTTGACTGTTTTGAGGTCTGATCACCCATCCGTCAAATGTTCTCAGTTGGGAATCAGAGTGAAATTTTAGGGCTGAAGAAGACAGCACCAAACTGGATGAAATGTTGAATTGGATTATTGATCATTTCAACGTGTTTGTAAACAAGAGGGTTTTTTTTAACCAATTAAAAACTACCCTCCTAGAGGGATTTACAAAGTTCAAAAGCAAAATACGGAAAAGCCAATGACATTTGAAAGATTAAGACATCCACTTGAAACAACGGACATGGAGATTCATTGCCTCCTGCTCATTCCTTATTAGTCTGATAGAATTTGAGTAGCTCTTGGTGGATTAGACCGGAACAAAAATAAAACAAACAAATCAATAAGTAAGGAAACATTTCTGACTCTCGCCACCAGGGGGACCATAGGCAAGAATAAATAATCTACTCTTAGCATTTGTCCTACTCGGTTAGAGGATATGCCTTTCTGCATTGCTTTTATTCAATTCAATGGTGAAGCCGTTACAATGCAGATACTTTCTGGATGTTGGCTTGTCTCAGTCGTCTGGATGGAGGATCCAGGAAAGCTAAAATCCATCCCATCTGGAGGACCCCGGCTAGCAGCTAAATGCATGTGTAGACACACAGAGAGGCCCAGGCCTTGTCTTCTCCAAGGCATGATGCTACCTACCTGGTACTCCTGTCCCAAAGGGAGAAACTATCGGACTCCTCGTAGATCTCCAGCCGGTCGTAGAAGCACAGATCGGAGGCCTCCACATCCAAGGTTTCTATTTTCAGCTGAATCACCATTCCCAACTTCACTTGGATCTGCCAGGTGCAGAGGACGTTAGGTGGGTAGGAATCGGGGTAGTTGGGAGAGCTGAAGGTGCCCCCGGAGCCTCCAAGTTCACCTCCACACACTACAGAAGAAGGAGGCAGAGAACGAAGCAACTCTTCAGAGAAGCAAATCTTAAATGAGAGCAGCTGCGTTGGACTCGGTGGTGAAATCCAAATTTTTTTTTTACTACCGATTCTGTGGACGTAGCTTGGTGAGCATGATGTGGCTTGGTGGGCATGGCAGGGAAAGGATACTGCAAAATCTCCATTCCCACCCCAATAAATGTTCTATATGTTTACTATCTAGGCGATTTATCCAATGAAGCCCAGTATTTGTTAGGTGGGGGAAAGTCTGGCTCTCCTCTTGTTGTAAGATCTCAAATGGCAGCTGGACACTATGAGCTGGACACAGTCACAATCCCCAGATCCAGTGGTGGGATTCAAATAATTTAACAACCGGTTCTCTGCCCTAATGACCAGCTGGGTGGGCGTGGCCATGATGGGCGTGGCCAGGGGTATGTCACAGGCAGCACTCGGCCTCCTGTATCCCCCTGGGATGTACCCCCCATGCCCCATTTTGGGCCTAGTAGGCCTCCCTGAAGCCTCCTGGGAGTGAAAATGGGGTGCATAGGGACTCCTGGAAGGGGCGGGGCAGGGCGGGGCAAGCCAACAATTTAACTACCGGTTTGCTTGAACCGGCCTGAACCGGCTGAATCCCGCCACTGCCCAGATCAGAGAAACCAGGTTACAGAAACAGCCTCAGCAGTAACCGGTACTCACCGGGCCCTGGTTTTGTGGTTTCCTGCAGCTCTCGCTGAGACGGGGCGGTGGCGGAGATGGGGTCCCAAGAAGTCCTCCTGACCGAAGCGAAGGTGGCATTGGCGACGTTGTGCCCGAGGAAAGTCTCAAGAGTGGGCTTGCTTGGAGGAGGGGACTTTAGCTCTGCCTCCAGGAAAAAAAAAAACGAAAGACAGAAATTGACCAGGAAAAGACTGAAGACACCCAAATTAGAAAAAAATTGGGTCTCGAAAGCTCCGTTCCTCAGTTCTCACCCCCTCCCTGCCTTTTTCAGCCTGGTTGCTCTACAAGACTCCTGAAAGTCAAAATGCACCTTCAAAAAGAAAAAAAAATATTAAAGAACAAGAAATAATAATAATATTGCATCCAGTTTTGGTCGCCACGATGTAAAAAAAATGTGGAGACTCTAGAAAGAGTGCAGAGAAGAGCAACAAAGATGATGAGGGGACTGAAGTTTTTAAGAAGAAGTTGGATAACCATTTGCCTGAAGTGGTGTAGGGTTTCCTGCCTGGGCAGGGGGTTGGACTAGAAGACCTCCAAGGTCCCTTCCAACTCTACTTTTCTCTTCTCTTCTCTTCTCTTCTCTTCTCTTCTCTTCTCTTCTCTTCTCTTCTCTTCTCTTCTTTCTCTTCTCTTCTCTTCTCTTCTCTTCTCTTCTCTCCTCTCCTCTTCTCTTCTCTTCTCTTCTCTTCTCTTCTCTTCTCTTCTCTTCTCTCCTCTCCCCTACCCTACCCTACCCTACCCTACCCTACCCTACCCTACCCTACCCTACCCTACCCTACCCTACTCTACTCTACTCTATTCTATTCTATTCTATTCTATTCTATTCTATTCTATTCTATTCTATTCTATTCTATTCTACCTGGGAGTTAAGCTTTTGGAGAGAATTAATCACACTGAGTCACCAACTTGCCAAAAAAAATATTACACCCTTTGCCAGATCAATCCCACCCCACCATCTGCAAACAGGAGGCCAGCCTATGGGGAGGAAGATGACTGGAGGCCTCCCGTTTACCCAGTCATCTTCCCAGTCCCAGTCCCATTCTCCCAGTTCGGCTCCCACCCACTTCAGCTGGGTGGCTAATGGAAAAAGGAGTTGTTATGGGAAGACGGCAGGTCCATCGCTTAGAGCAGTATCTCCCAACCTTGGCAGCTTGAAGATGAGTGGACTTCAAGCTGTGGAAGACCACCCATCTTCAAGCTGCCAAGGTTGAGAAACATTGGCTTAGAGCTTCACCCATAGGGGATGGAGGAAGCAAGGATGGCTCTTCAAGACTGAGGTCCACCAGAAGGTCTGATGGACATCTTTCCATGTAGCTGCTGACATGAAGAGAACAGGCTTTTTCAGCCTCTTTGGGCCTGAAAATAAGTTCCTCATGTGTGTTCAAGAATGTTGGCTTCTTAGAATTAAAGTCATGACCTTTGGGGGGGGGTCTTATTAACATGAAAGGAGCAAGGGGCAGACCCAACCCAGATACCCTGCTTTTGTTGCCCATGTAGCTTCAGGCAGACATCATGGTGGCCACCACCAACTTTTCCCAAAACAAGCTTGTATTGGCCCAGGATGGGCTTCAATTGCAGGAATGTCCCTCCCAGACCCCACCCCTCAATCCAGAACTTACGGTAGGTGACCAGGATGCCCACAAGCAAGGCCAGGAGGAGGAGGAGCAGAAGGCTCAGGATGGTCACACATAGCCAGGAAAATTTGCAGTCTGGCTTGAATTTCTTGCTGGCTGCTTCTCGCACTTGCTGAGCTGCAGGGGAGGAGAAGCAGGCTGGCCATTAGGGCACCCCTATCCATCGGTAGATCGACCTCCCCCTCCCTCCCTGGCTGTTCCGATGACCTCTTGTGATAGCCCCAAGAAGGACCTCTGGCGAGGAGACTGGAGCAGAAGACTTTTTACATGTTGCTCTAAATAGGGCGAGGGTTAGCCAATCTTGTTGGACTTGGAGATGTTTCCTTCCTTCCTTCCTTCCTTCCTTCCTTCCTTCCTTCCTTCCTTCCTCCTTCCTTCCTTCCTTCCTTCCTTCCCTCCCTCTCCCTCCCTCCCTCCTTCTCCTTATCTCTCCTTCCTCCCTCCCTCCCTTCCTCCCTTCTCCCTCCTCCCTCCCTTCCCTCCTATCTCTTTCTCCCTCCCTCCCTCCCTCCCTTCTTCTCCTTATCTTCCTCTCTCTCTCCCTTCCCTCTTATTCCTTCCTTCCTTCCTTCCTTCCCTCTCTTCTCCTTCCTTCTTCCTTCCTTCCCTCTCTTTCTCCTTCCCTCTTCCTTCTCCTTATCTCCTCTTCCCTCCCTCCCTTCCCTCTCTTTCTCCTTCCTTCCTTCCTCCTTCCTTCCTTCCTTCCTTCCTTCCTTCTTCCTTCCTTCCTTCCTTCTCCTTATCTCTCCTTCCCTCCTCCCTTCCCTCTTCCTTTCTCCTTCCTTCTTCCTTCCTTCCTTCCTTCCTTCCTTCCTTCCTTCCTTCCTTCCTTCTCCTTATCTCTCCTTCCCTCCCTCCTATCTCTTTCTACTTCCTGCCTGCCTGCCTGCTGGATTTCAGCTCCCATGTTTAACACTCACTCGGACCAATTCCCACAATAGCTCTTCCGTCTCAGAGAAATGGAGTCCATCCTGAACCTGAAAAGCTCTCAGCTGTGGAACACCATTGAAATAGAAACGTGAGCTAACGACCCTGAAATGATGCACCACCCAACCGTCTCCTCTCTAACTATTAACCCTAAGAGATTTCTATCCCATCCTTGCTTCAGTAGAACTCAAGGCAATTCATAATGCTCTCTTTTGCTAACTCTCTGGTGTGGTGGGTTGGGCTAAAGAAGACTTGAACTCAGAGCCTCTTGGTTTCCTAGTCCAGCCTCTTCACTTTCACACCAAACTGACTCTTCCCACCCTGCTGGTACTGTTCTACCATCTTAGTGCCCCTCTAAAACATGGATGTATTGATACCAAATCCATTGGCGGCGAGTTTGGCATCCCTGCCCTTCTCCTCCTCCAGATGGTTCTGGGTCAGCGTCTCACCGTCCTCCTCAAACACGGGGTTGGAGAACTCCCTCAGCACGTTCGGTGGCAAAGACAACATGACAGTCTCCTGGGGGGGGGCATAGAAAACGGGGCATTTTGAATTTAGTGGGTCTCCTCCTCGCCCCTTTTAAGGAACCCTCCGTTTTTCTTTCAAATCGGTTTTGGCATTTCGGAGCGGAGAAAAGAACAGTTCCTCCAAATAATAAAACAACCTTTGGGACTGAGCAGCCCGCAAAATGAGAAAATCCCTACAGAGGGAGAAGTAATTAAGAAAACATTGGATTGTGCAGAAATGAATAGATTGACTTTGACAATTAAGGAAGAATCGGGATACTTTTAAGATATGGGGGCAATTTTACCATTGGTTAGAGAAGATATATCTTCTGTAAAGCCCTGAAGACTTATTTATTCCACCAAGCCGGCCTAGCCTAAATGGTTCTTAATTGGGATTTTAAATTTTATGGACTTGGGGGTTTTAAATTGGGAAGCTAATGATTTAATTCTTTTTAATTACCTTAACTTTTGTATTTGTATGTTTTTTAATTTTGTCTGTTCACCGCCCTGAGTTCCTTCTGGGAGAAGGGTGGTATACAAATTAAATTAATAATATATATATATATATATATATATATATATATATATATATATATATATATATATATATATATATATGTGTGTGTGTGTGTGTGTGTGTGTGTGTGTGTGTGTGTGTGTGTGTGTGTATATATATATATATGGATAGAAAAATGGATTAAATGTGGGACTAGAACTCACTGTCTCCTGGTGACTGGCCCAAAGTCACCCATCTAGCTTTTGTGCCTTAGGCAGCACTAGAACTCACTCTCTTCAGGTTCCTAGCCTGGTGCCTTGACTGGACCAGACCAAACTGGCTCTTTGTCCATATCACAATTATGGCAAGCCCCGAGGACAGAATATGAACCTGAAGTTGGAATTACTTTGACCACTGTCCCATCTCAGCCACGCTACTAGGGTAAACCTCAAAGGTGCCCCAAATGGCATCTCCTCCCAGATGGCATCTTCTCCAAAATTTTAGGCTCTCCCTGCTCTGCCTTGCCACAGCCTTCTCCAACTGCTCCAAACACAAACGAGGCCCATTTTTGCACAGGACAAAGGCAACGCTTATGTATTGGACTGTTAAAAATGTTTGTGAGTGTATCTCCCCACCTCTTAATCTCCTTATTGCCATCACATTAGTTTTCCAGCCAGGAACAGAAATGGAAATGTAATCTTGGGTTAAAAATCTGCAAGGCCAACATTTCGCTCATCCTAAGCAACCCTCTCCTAAGGAAGTTGGCTTGTAATGATGTGTTTGCTCGCCACAAGGTCCCTTCCTCCCCACTCTATAAAAATAATTTCCAGAGATCCAGGAAATGAGGGTGCCAGAAGACTGAAAGCCACGAGGAGGAGAGAAAAGAGATGTGGGCATGGGGGTTTTATAAATCAGCATGTCTTTTCAAAGGCAGTTTCCACTTGGGGAAGGGATAAGGCAAAATCTTTGGGTGGCGTTGTCCCTAACAGGGGTTCCCCAGGAAGACAAAAAAAAGTCATTATTTTTATTTATTTATTTATTTTAATTTGTATACCGCCCTTCTTCCTGAGGACTCAGGGCGCTGAACAGCCAAGTAAAAACATAAACTACAAACATTAAAATACAATTAAAAAGATATATATATAAATTTGGCCCCATGATTAAAAACAATAACAAACAATTAAAAACATTGAAAAAAGTGTTAGGCCAGCCCGGCTTGCTGGAAAAAGAAGGTTTTAAGGGCACGGCGAAAGGCACCAAGGTCTTGGATTCTCCTTATCTCTGGGGACAGCTGATTCCAGAGGGTGGGTGCCCCCACAGAGAAGGCCCTCCCCCTGGGGGTCACCAGCCTACATTGTTTGGCTGATGGCACCCCGAGGAGGCCCTCTCTGTGGGAGCGCACAGGTCAATGGGAGGCCGTCGGTAGCAGCAGGCGGTCTCGAAGATAACTAGGTCCTATGCCATGGAGCGCTTTAAAGGTGATAACCAACACCTTGAAGCGCACCCGGAAGACCACTGGGATTATGATGGCCACAATCGTGCAAAACACAAGGGTTGGACAATGGACATGCCCTGGACCCTGTTGGATGGAGATATGGAGCTCAGAGCATCATCAGACAACTGGTCTTCTGCCTACCTGGTTTTGATTCTGTGCCTCTGGGTGAAAGACGACCTCGGTGAAGTCCTTCATGGCTAGGAAGGAGGCTGGGGGATACGTGGACAGGATCCCTGCCTGTCTGGGGCTGCCACATGTCCCCCCTTCCTGTGGCATCTGGCTTTCTGCAGTGGCAGCTCTCCCAGGAACCTTCTGACGTTCAACGCATGGACCAGAAGTTCTCCTCCTTGGTGAAGGATCTCCGAAGGGTGAGATGAGGGCTGCAAATTGATGGCTTTTCCCCTTTCCCGGTGAAGGCGATGGGTTAATTTAACCAACTGGCCCTGATCTTGCTTTCAAGATCACAGCCCATCCCTGGCCAACTGAGCCTTGGGAGAAGGGACTTGTTAAGCCGCTAGGAAATGAAAGAATGCGCAAGCATGAAAGCCACCAGGCGCCCCTGCGCCTTAATCCAACTCAGCTGAGGACTCCGCCAGGTCAGAGGCCCTGGCATGGGCTACGGTGCTCTTAAAGACACAGTGCTGCCCAGCCAGACCAGGGCATCTGAACCATATTCCAATTTGGGTGGGATGCTAGAAGTGGTGGTGAGAAACAGTTGCACAGGGTAGATTCCTACTAAATATAATGCAAGTGTCATGAAGGATCCTATAAACAAATAAAACAGGATGGCCACGTTCTTCAAACTGAGAGAGTAGAGTACAGTACAGTACAGTACAGTAGAGTAGAGTAGAGTAGAGTAGAGTAGAGTAGAGTAGAATAGAATAGAATAGAATAGAATAGAATATTGAGAATAGAATAGAATATAGAGTAGAGTAGAGTAGAGTAGAGTAGAAGAGAATCTTTACTGAGAATAGAATAGAATAGAATCTTTATTGAGAATAGAGTAGAGTAGAGTAGAGTAGAGTAGAGTAGACTAGAGTAGACTAGACTAGACTAGAATAGAACAGAACAGAACAGAACAGAACAGAACAGAACAAATATTGGAATGAAGAGTATAGAGTAGAGTAGAGTAGAGCAGAATAGAATAGAATAGAATAGAATAGAATAGAATAGAATAGAATAGAATAGAACAGAACAAATATTGGAATGAAGAATAAAGAGTAGAGTAGAGTAGAGTAGAGTAGAGTAGAGTAGAGTGGAATGAGTAAAATAGAATAGGAATAATGAAAAATGAGCTGTTGTAACTTTGAACGGTCACTAAATGAATTGTTGTAAGTCAAGGACTATCTCTCCCACCATCACAATTCAGGCCCTTGACAATGGGCATCTATTTATGACCTGTTACGGCATCGCGGGGGTGTGTATGGTGTTTACGGGATCACCGTTTATGATCTTCCCAGCCAGCTCCCAACAAGAAGCAAAATCAACGGGAGATGTCAGATTTTCCTTAACGCCCGTGCGATTCACAACCCTGGCGAAAAAGGTTGCAACATTGGCTGCAACTCGCTTAACCACCTTCCTTAGCCACGGAGGTTCTGTTTGGTCATAAGCCGAGGAGTCCCTGTTCCCTCTTGGGTGCCAAGCCTCTCTTCCTTGTCCTTGCGTCCAAAGTGCTGTTGGCAGCGCAGCTCTTTCGGCAGGACCGGGCATGTTGCTAAAACGCCCACATTCCAAACGGCCCGTCGAGCTATTGCAAAACCTTTCTGATCTTGTTCCAAAGCAAGGGACAAAGAGATCCTTGTTTGCCTGCTCAATTGCTCGGGAAGGAACACTGGCTCCTTATGGGCACTCGGATCTGTTTTTCAATCATTAATCCGCACCCTCGGCTGCATTTGCCTTCGTAATCTTGCTACCGAGGCTAGTCCACCTTTGGTGAGCCGGAGAGGCAATTAACTTGGCCAGGGTGTCCCGCTGGGAAGTATCAGGCAAGTTCCAGAAAAGGGGAAAACTCAAAAAAAAAAATGCTTCTATAATAGAGACAAAGATCCAAGAGAGGAATATGGGAGGCAAGCTAAGAAATGAAAAATTAAAGCTTTAAAGCGGGCAAGAGACGATGGATAGAAAGGGGATATTTTTAAATATAATAGTGGCATAATTAAAAGTTAGAATAGGGATGCAAACTAGAGAGAATACACATTTTTATATAATAAGGTGAAGTAATAACAAGAGGGGAAATCAGAATTTGAACGATGGTATTATCAAGTATGCTTGAATAATACGGTGATTGGCATAAAAATAACATATTGAAATATTGAATAATTAAATAATGGAAGATTATAACTTAATATAAATATGTGTATTATTATTAGAACCATGTAAGCTTGCTAAATGTAACAAATATGATTAATAATATTTTATTTGTTGTAAAAGGAATGACACTTAGAATATGGGGATTGGCATAAAAATAACATATTGAAATATTGAATAACTAAATAATGAAAGACTACATAAATATGTGTACTATTACCAGAATTATATAAGCTCGTCAAACATGGTAAATATGGTATTATTTTATTTGTACTAAAATGTAAGACAGTCAGGTGCCACACTGTTCATGCATTGATATGTTTGTAAAAAAATAAAAAACTTGGGGGGAAAAAAACAAAACACACTCATATAAACGAGCCAAGCTGCAAGGGACGAAGATGATCAGACGTTGCTTCGGCTTTGACTAACCCAACTCTTAAGAAGAAGAACTCTTTTCCCAGAGATAATACAACTACATGCAGTAACAAACAGACTTAGCAGGCCTGGACTTACGACCGCAACTGAGCCCAAAATTTCCACTGCTAAGCAGGGCCGTTAAGTGAGTTTGGCTCCATTTTACCACCTTCCTTGCCGTTTTGGTTAAGTGGATCATGGCAGTTGTTAAGTTAGGTGCACGGCTGTTCAGACAATCTGGCTCCCCTATTGGCTTGGCTTGTCAGAAGCTCGCAAAAGGGGATCATGTGACCCCGGGATGCGGCGACCGTCATAAAGATGAATCTGTTGCCAGACGTCCAAATTTTGACCATGTGACCTTGAGGAAGGATGCTTCAATAGTCGTAAGCGTGAGAAAAGGTCATTAAGTCACCCTTTTCAATGCCGCTGTAATTTCAAACGTTCACTACACGAATGGTTGTAAGTTGGGACTATCCGTATAATTTCTTGAATATCTCAATCCTTACAAATGGACTACACATCTCCATCACCTGTGTACCATAGTATTATGTGCTCCTTCTCTATAATTTTACTACTATTATCCATGTGCTCTGTGCCACTGATACACAGCCTTTTCTTCACCACTATTTTCCCACTGTGCAAAAATGGAAGATGCATTTTGGAGCGCGCACAGGGCAGGGATTCAGTTGGTTCGGACCGGTTCGGTTCGAACCGGTACCTCTGACGATCAGCTGAGAGCGAACCAGTTCACTCCGACGATCAGCTGGGCCCGCCCACCTGCCTCCCCTGTGCTATACCTACCTATATTTCCTTTGTTTGAAGCCCAGCTGATAGGCGCGGCAGAGCAGAGCTGCGCCTCAGCTGTTTTACTCACCGGGGCTGCTGTAGAAGGTAAGATTTAGCGCTGTTTTCAACTGCCCTGTGTGCGGGTGGAGCGCAAAGTGCACGCTCAACAAACCGGTTGTTACATCGGTTGAATCCTACCATGAGCGCGCACCCACCCTCTCCCCAGGTCCCAGAGCATCAAAAGCTCCTGGGTCATCTCTTCTGCCACCCTGTCCTGGGATAGGGAACTTTGACTCCCTGATTTGGCTTTTAAGTAGCTCCCTTCACAGTCAGACTGCCCCAGGAGCTGCTGATACAGTTTTAAGGAGGAATGATCGAGTCTGTCGTTTGTACTTCTATAACTGTCTGGTTTGGTACTGCAACCAAACAGGTAAGAGACTGCAACGGATAGTTAGGATTGCAGAAAAAAACAAAAACAATGGCAACCAGCCTTCCTTCCACCATGGACCCGTATATTGTGTGGGTCAGAAGGAAGGTTGAGAAAATATCTGCAGACCATTCACATCCTGGACATAAAATTGTTTCAATTCGTCCCCTCAGGGTGGCGCCAGAGGGCACTGCATGCCAAAACAACTAGAGCTTGTTTCCTTCCTGCCATCACTCTGCTGAACACCCAATCCTCACAGTAGTGTTATGTCTAAGGATATTTACCTATGTTGTACAGCTGTATTACTGTTATCCTTCTCATTTGTTCTATTACCCTTTTCTTATTGGTATCATTATTAAAGGTAAAGGTAAAGATTCCCCTCGCACATATGTGCTAGTCGTTCCCGACTCTAGGGGGCAGTGCTCATCTCCGTTTCAAAGCTGAAGAGCCAGCGCTGTCCGAAGAAGACGTCTCCGTGGTCATGTGGCCGGCATGACTCAACGCCAAAGACGCACGGAATGCTGTTCCCTTCCCACCAAAGGTGGTCCCTATTTTTCTACTTGCATTTTTTACCTGCTTTCGAACTGCTAGGTTGGCAGAAGCTGGGACAAGTAACGGGAGCTCACCCCGTCACGCAACACTAGGGATTCGAACCGCTGAACTGCCGATCTTTCGATCGACAAGCTCAGTGTCTTAGCCACTGAGCCACCGCATCTTTTATCGTATCCTTTTTGATATCATTATTATGATGATGTTATTACTCAGCTGTTTTGCATGTACACTGAGAGCTTCGGTACCGGAGACAAATTCCTTGTGTGTCTAATCGCACTTGGTCAAATAAAAGTATTCAATTCATATTTCAGCAAAGTGAACTGCCCATCCTATAACCCCCTCATGCCTGCGAATAGGCAGCCACGTCCTTCAGCTCTTCCTGCAGAAGGACCACCTACAACTGCTGTGCCCAACCGCGGAAGGAATCCTGAGGTCCGCCAGCCAAGCCGTCCTCCTTCAGAGAAAATACATTTGAGTCCATCATCCAGATTGTGGCAGATTCAACAAGAGTCAAGCCTCAACAGGGGCTGGGGGCTTCTTACCGCACAACCCATCCCTCCCATCAGAAAGATTTCTTGCCCGCAATTCACAGACACTTGTGCACAAACGCAATGGGCTGTTCATCAACTTACAATTTTATTTCTGTACAAGCCTCCTTCCTGAGTGACCACGGTCCGTCCTCCAGCCTTGCTTACACAGTAAACAAGCTGTTCAGTCCAAACTGATAAATGAAAAAAAAAAAAACCCCACAAACACAAACACACACACACACACACACAAACGAAACAAAAAAATACCCCGTCCCAAACCAAGCAAAATAGTAACACTGAGAAAGGCTTTGCTAGCCGGATCCTTGATGTCTCGGTTACCCCTTCTGCCTTCCCCTCGGGGGGGGGGGGTCCCTGGGCACCCGCCTGGTTGAAATGGAGTGAAATATGCAAAGGGGGGGAGGGCATTGGAGGGAAGGTTGCGGAAAACAGGCCATGAGAATGGCAGAAGGGGGTCGAGGGGCCTCCTTTGGGCTGCAAACCAAAGTGCCCACTAAAACCAACCTCAATGCTCTGCTTGATTCATAACTGAGTTAAAATTGGCTCGGTGCTTTTTTCAGAGCTTTGCGAGGGGCGGGGGATGAAAAGGGGGGGAATAAAACAGGGGAGGGGGGTTTCCACCCAGCAAATGTCTGGTTGTAAAACCGTCAAGGTGCTAACTCTAACTCTCAGCCCTTCAAGTAGTGCCTGCTTCGGAGGTGGGCTGAAAGGTTGACCCTGCACGATGGAGATGGAGAATAAATAAGAGGATGGATGAGTTTGGTGATGCTGCCCAGGTGGCCCATCAAGACCATCGCCCCCAAACTGGCTTAAAAAAACCCTCCTCTCTAACGAGGTGCGTTTTGGCGACTCCACGGCATGCACGCAGCGAGAACCAAAATGAAAACTGAATCAAAGCAATCCTCATTTCGGAAAGGCAGTGAAAATTGTCCGAAGCGTTCCCGAATGGCCTCCGTCCCAAGATGAATGAGGGATGTGGCAGGCAAAAGTTGGGACAGCAGGAGAACAAAGCTGAGGGATGTGGGGTTTTTTTCCACCCCATATTTCTGCTGGTTGCGCTGTCGTGTCCCTTTCCGAAGGGCACTGAAAACACACCGTGTCTTTCGTCTGGATGCTTTTAAGGCACAGTCGTGACAAGAAAACAGGTAGAATTGGATCCAGCGAGTCTCTGCTTTTGCGATAAAGTCAGTAAAAATCCGTCCACGAGTGCTTCCAGTTTGTAAAAAAAGAAACCAAGAACAGCCCCCACCTCTGCGAAGAGATAGGACTCGAAGTCCACGGTTCCTGCAGAGAAATCCCTCTCACCCCCCCACCCCCCGAGGAGGGTCGTGCGAGAGCTGTGCAAAAAAACACAAACACGCCTTGCCGGATCTAAGATGCAAAATTGGATTCCGGTAAACCTTATCTAGTTCTGCAACTCTATGGCCAAAGTGGCGTTCGACTGGCATCGGACAGAGAGAAAACACCTCCATGGCTCAGCTCCGACACCCCCCACCAAAGGAATCACAGGGGTACGGACAGGGGTGCTGCCCCCCCCGGAAAGAACAGCAGTTGTTTGTGGCTTATTGCACACCAAATTGTGGAAGGGTTAAGGGTGTGGGCGGACGAGGGGAGAAGGGAGAAAGGAAAAGGGAGGAAAGGAAAACACAGAAACCACCCCTGAGAAAAAAATTTGTCGGAGCGATGGAGGTAGCGTGGAAACTGCCCTCCAAGGATGGTATTTTATCCCTGGTTTTCTCCATCTTCTGTCCTGTGCGTGGGAGAAAGGCATTCCGGTAAAGACCGGCAACTTTAGTTAACGCTTTATTAAAAGCATTTTCTTCCTCCCTCCCTCTCTTTCTCTCTCTCTCTTTTTTTTGCTTTTGCTTGTTTTTTAGGAAAAAAGGGGGGGAAAACCCAGTTTAGAAAAAAAATCCCTCAAGTCACCATTGTCCTGGGTCTCTACACACTCCCCCACCCCATCCCGCTCCCGTTGCATTTCTGAGCTGGTGCATGGCTTGCGTCCTTCCTCCGGGATATTACGAGGATTCCTTTCCGTGGGGACGTGCGTGGCGGGTGGCGGAGGGGAGCGTGACCTGGAAGCTACATTCGGGAAGACGGGCTGGCCAGCTCATAGAAGAGGAGATAGGCGTCGCTGCTGCGGAGGTGGCCCAGGGAGATCGGCGTGACGCTGCAGGAAGGACAGAAAGGGAAACCGGCGTTAAGAGGGCGGGAGACCCATCTGGGATGGGGTGGGGTGTAAATGAAGAATGGATGTAAGGAAAACTGGCAACAAGGGACGCCTACTTTGATTTCTGGCTGGTTCTGACCCACACTCACTCCAGTCCCGAGGGGTAAAGATAGGGAGTGCTGGCAGTCCTCATTTTATGACCAGAATCAGAACCAGTTTTCTGGTTGTACATCATTACGGTCCTCAGTCGAGGGACTGAGTCCTGATTCAAGGACAATTTTTTTCTGTCGTTTGTTAAGTGAATCACTGTTATGCAAACAGTTCGGTTGTAAGTATGAAGCGGTTCTTCTGAATGGTAGTTTTTTTTTGCTGGAAATCGACCAAAAAAAATCGCCATTCAGGGTGACTGCGGGATTCTGCAACTGGTCACAAAGATGCACCCAGTTGTCACAGGACAGCGAGTGTGGGTGTGTGTGGGGCACATTTTAGGATGGCCAGAAGTGCATTATGGGCTGTAAATGCCTGTTCTTGGCCTGTTGTAATTCCAAATGGCCGTGAAACAACCAGTTGTAAATTGACCATCAGAACATTATACTGATTAATTATTTTTTTTAAAAAAGAGTAAGTGACTTTGAGGAGTGGGCCATCCAAAGAGGCAAACCCTCCCTTTGGAAAGGGAGAATTGTGTTTCCCGGGCTGAATGATGAGAGGCAAACCGAGGCAGTCCTCAGCTTACGATCAGTATTGAACTCAAAATTTTTGTTGCTAAGTAAGACAGTTGTCGAGTTAAATTTTGTCCCCTTTTATGACCTCTCTTGCTCGGGGAAAGAGTTGGGAGGGCAAAAAGAGAGGCCGGATGCCCGCTTACCGTGAATCGTTAAAGGTGTGCCATTCTCCAGAGACGGGACTCTTGCAGTAGGCCGTGTAATGGCCGCCCATCGTGGTCCCGCTGTGATTGGAGATGGCGTAGAGATTGTAAATTGCGTGATCTGAAAACGGAAGAGGTCAAATTACCGTCAGGGGAGCCTTTCGTTCACTTCTGGGTGTGCAAAAACCTGAGGCGGCCTCCATCGGAAGTGTGCAATGGCCCCCACCCCCTCTTTCTCCTCAAATATTGCTAGCAGGATTTGCCGTGGCTTGACATTTGTTGACTTGCAAAAATCAATAAAGTAAATAATCCGAAGAATCTCTTCATCACAATCTTGGCTCCCAAGAGGAGATTCGGAAGGAGAAGCAGAGTTTTTAATCTTTATTTTTATTTCATGATTATTTTACAGCAGTGGCCAAAATTGTGGAAACCTTTTGGGGAAAGTGTATTTTCTAAAACTACCTAATGACACCACTTCTTTTTTTGGGAGTAGTAGCATAAAGTGATATTTCAATTTCTATTCTATTCTATTCTATTCTATTCTATTCTATTCTATTCTATTCTATTCTATTCTATTCTATTCCATTCCATTCCATTCCATTCCATTCCATTCCATTCCATTCTATTCTATTCTATTCTATTCTATTCTATTCTATTCTATTTCATACTTCATTCTTCTATTCTATTCTATTCTATTCTATTCTATTTCATACTTCATTCTTCTATTCTATTCTATTCTATTCTATTCTATTCTATTCTATTCTATTCTATTCTATTCTATTCTATTCCATACTTCATTATTCTATTCTATTCTATTCCATTCCATTCCATTCCATTCCATTCCATTCCATTCTTCATTCTTCTATTCTTCTATTCTTTTTATTCCATTATTCTGTTCTATTCTGTTCTATTCTGTTCTATTCTATTCTATTCTATTCTATTCTATTCTATTCTATTCTATTCTATTCTATTCTATTCTGTTCTATTCTATTCGGCTCAGTGACTAAGACACTGAGCTTGTCGATCAGAAAGGGGTTGACAGTTTGGCAGTTCAAATCCCAAGTACCGGTCTCCTTGTGTGAGCAGGGGGTTGGACTAGATGACCTCGAAGGTCCCTTCCAACTCTGTTACTATTACTTACTATTCTCACATACACCCAGATCTGCAGTGTAAACCTCCTCCCCCCCTCCGTGAAAGTGGGTCCCTGGCACCCAAAAGGTTGGGGGTTGGTGTCTTAGATGACCTCCCCCCACCCCCCACCCCCATCATCATCACCCTGGCTGGTTCTTCCAAATCCTGCCGGAGATACTCACTGCAATTCTGAGAGGCAAATTCCCGTAGATCCAGATCCTTAAGCGGGAAATTGACAAAAGTGGTGAGTTTGCTGGATCGCATCCTGGCTTCGGAGAAACGTTTCAGGTCTGGGCGAGGAATTAAGGAAAAATGGGGAGGGCCAAACGGTTCCCACAAGTAAGGAATGTTTGTTTATTTTTTCTTCTTCTTCTTCTTCTTCTTCTTCATAATCCCTTGCTGTGTCTGGAGAACTGAATGGAGCTAGCAGAGTCTTTTAATGGCCGGATGCCTTTCCTGTCGCCAATGCGGAGTTTTGTTCAGCAGATATATTCTCAGAGTGCCCAGAGAGAGAAATATCTGCCTCTACCTAGGATCGAACTCACAGCCTCCTGATTGTGAGGCCAGAGCTCCACCTCTAGGCCACCACACCACTCCTTTGTTTTATTTATTTTATATCCCACATTTATTATTTTTACAAATAACTCCAGGCATCCAACACAACTTCCTCCTCCTCTTTCCCCCACAACAACAACTCTGTGAGGCAGCTTGGGCTGAGAGAGAGGAGGACTGGCCCAAAGTCACCCAGCCGGCTTTCATGGCTAAGGCAGGACTTGAACTCATGATCTCCTGCTTTCTAGCCTAGCGTCTCAACCTCAAGAAATGTAAAGCAAAAAAGTCGAGGCTGTAATTTGTGTGTGTGTACATTCTACTCAGCGGTGAAATGCACTTACCTTCGCTACCGGATCGGAAATGTGAGTGCGTACATGCTCGCTATGCTCGTGCGCACCTCTTCTGCACATGTACAGAGCCTTCTGTGCATGCGCAGAGGGTCAAAAACGGGACATAATGACGTCCCGGCGGGTGGGCGGAGTCTCCCATCACTAGCCCTACCAGTTCGTGCAAACCGGATAGCTCCAGCTGGATTTCACCGCTGGTTCTACTGCACTGAAAAAAACCTGCGCCTTCTCAAACCCAAGAGGACTAGGATCTTGAAATAATAAACTGTTCAACCTAAGTCCTCCGCAGGCTGGATTCTGGGGCCCAGTAAAACTGTCTGCCCTTGATGGATGTTGATGGACACCTGTCAAGTCGCCACGCATCCACGTGTGAGGTCTCCTTGCTATGGAGCGTCCCACAGCGGTTGGATACGAGATGGACGGCAAATAAATCCCATAAATAAATAAAACAGCCGAGGCCAAATCCTCTGGGGGGGGGAAAAAAAGAAGAAAGGATACGTAAAACCAGGATCTTGGGGAAACGTTGGATGCTGAATTTCTTCATGCATTTCGTCCTCGCTTTGCAATGGTAGCACGTCTGCAGGGACAAAGGACAGCCAGGGTTTAGGAGAGCAGCACCGGAGATGCGGAGGGGAAGGATGCCTAGCGCACAAACATTGTTAGGAAAGACAGACATGGGACAAGTGGACCCAGCTGGGGGAAAAGCCAATGGCAGACTGGCAGGGCCGGCTTTGATTTCACAGAGACAAAAAAAACATCTTATTTGTAGAGAAAAAACTGACGTGGGCAGGTTAACAGAGTTGGAAGGGACCTTGTAGGTCATCTAGTCCAACCCCCCGCTGAAGCAGGAGACCCTACACTATTTTTGACAGATGGCAGTCCAGTCTCTTCTTGAAAGCTTCCAGTGGTGAAGCTCCTGCAACTTCCAAAGGCAACTCCTGTTCCATGGGTTGATTGTTCTCACTGTCAGAAAATTCCTCCTTATTTCCAGGTTGAATCTCTCCTTGGTCAGTTTCCATCCATTATTCCTTGTCTGGTTGCTCTGGAAAATAGCTTGACCCCCTTCCTCTTTGGGGCAGCCCCTCAAATATTGGAAGATGCTATCCTGTCTCCCCTGGTCCTTCTCTTCACTAGACTATCCAGGCCCAGTTCCTGCAACCGTTCATCGTATGTTTTAGCCTCCAGTCCCCTAATCCTCTTGGTTGCTCTTCTCTGCACTCTTTCTAGAGTCTCCACATCTTGTGTGGTGACCAAAACTGGATGCAGGACTCTAGGTGTGGTCTTACTAAGGCTTTATAAAGTGGTACCATATTTTCCCCAAAATAAGACATCCCCTGAAAATAAGCCCAATTGGGCTTTTGAGCGCATGGCAATAAGGCTAAGCGCTTATTTCAGGGTTAAAAAAAAATATAAGACGGGGTCTTATTTTCAGGGAAACTCGGGTATTAATCTTGATCTTGTTTGTATCCCCAGTTTAGGATTACATTGGCTTTTTTGGCTGCTGCCGCACACTGGTGGCTCATATATAGCTGGTTGTCCACTAAGACTTCAAGATCCCTCTCCCAGTTACTGCTATTAAGGTTTTTTTGTTTTTTTTTTAAATTTGATTTATATGCCGCCTTTCTCCGGAGACTCAGGGCGGCTTACAATGCACTAAGCAATAGCCTTCATACTTTTGTATATTTTATACAAAGTCAGCTTCTCTTTCTTTCTTTCTTTCTTTCTTTCTTTCTTTCTTTCTTTCTTTCTTTCTTTCTTTCTTTCTTTCTTTCTTTCTTTCCTTCTTCCTTCCTTCCTTCTTTCTTTCTTTCTCTTTCTTTCTCTTTCTTTATTTTTAAAAATTTGATTTATATGCCGCCCTTCTCCGGAAACTCAGGGTGGCTTACAATGCGTTAAGCAATAGCCTTCCTACTTTTGTATATTTTATACAAAGTCAGCTTATTGCCCCCACAATCTGGGTCCTCAATTTACCTACCTTAGAAAGGATGGAAGGCTGAGTCAACCTTGAGCCTTGGAGAGATTCGAACCAGCAGAAATTGCAGGCAGCTGGTCTTAATAACAGGGTGCCTTAGACCACTGTACTACCAAGGTTGATGGAAACATTTATTTATTTATTTATTGGTTCGATTTATATGCCACCCTTCTCCGGAGACTCAGGGCGGCTTACAATGCGTTAAGCAATAGCCTTCATACTTTTGTATATACCTGCTTAGTAGGGCTTTTGGCCCCCTACCCAAGTGGTGTTTTTTTTTATATAAAGTCACCTTACTGCTTCCACAATCCGGGTCCTCATTTTACCTACCTCGGAAGGATGGAAGGCTGAAAGGCTGAGTCAACCTTGAGCCTGGTGAGATTTGAACTTGTAATAATTGCAGGCAGCTGGTGTTACTTTAACAGTGCTTTACTCTGCTGCGCCACCAAAAGCTCTTAAAGGCAGTCTCCCATTATGGACTCAGCTCCTCTGCAGGTCAAAAATCCTAAACTTGGGATCATCACCTAGCAGTCTTCCAATATTTGAGGAGCAGCCATAAAGATGAGGAGGTTCACCTATTTTCCAAAGCACCAGAAGGTAAGAGAATAAACAACGGATGGAAACTAATCAAGGAGAGAAGCAGCCTAGAACCAAGAGGAATTTCCTGGCAGTCAGAACAATTAACCAGTGGAACAATTTGCTTTCAAAAGTTGTGGGCGCCTCATCACTGGAGGTTTTTAAGAAGAGATTGGGCAACCATTTATCCAGAATGGTGTAGTCTAGATTGGGGTTGGACTAGAAGACCTCCAGGGTCCCTTCCGACTCTGTTCTTCTGTTGAGTTCTGTTTTTTTTTTTTTAATTGATTTATATGCCGCCCTTCTCCGAAGACTCAGGGCGGCTTATAGTGCGTTAAGCAATAGCCTTCATCCTTTTGTATATTTATACAAAGTCATCATATTGCCCCCACAACTGGGTCCTCATTTCACCTACCTTAGAAAGGATGGAAGGCTGAGTCAACCTTGAGCCTTGGCGAGATTCGAACCTGCAGTAATTGCAGGCAGCTGGTCTTAATAACAGGGTGCTTTAGACCACTGTACTACCAAGGCTCTTAAGCAAAGCTCTGTTAAGCTTCACATGAGCCAGAGGCTGACACAACAACCAGATGAGGCAACAATTAACAGAAGAATAGACATGTCTGAGGTTTCCCAACCCATTAATCTAGAAACTTAAATCCAGCTTTTGCAACAAGGTATTCTCAAACCAAAGAAATAATTTCCAAAGTTGGATTGGAAGACCTCCAAGGTCCCTCCTTCCAACTCTTAGGATTCTTAAAAATCATCAGCAACTTCATTTTGTGCAAGACTCCAAGTCAATTTAAAAAAAAAAAAAATCCATCTAGTGGTTGATTTTGAAATCTAGGGCTTAAAAACTCTTGGAATAAGAGACGTGAACTGCGTGCAGAAACCTGACTGATGAGGATTTTTTTGCACCTTCCTCCCCATCTGGACTTACGGGCTTCTCGTCTCCATCTAGAACATCTTCCTTGGTGAAGAGTCGCATGCAGTCAATCAAATTCACCTCGCCGTAGCTTTTCTGCAGAAGGAGAAGGAGGAGGAGGAGAAAAGAGAGGGAGGGAGGGAGGGAGGGAGATCCAAGAAGTTAGGTCACCAATGCAAGAAGAGGCAGATCTGGGGGTCAACGGGAAGCCAATGGGAGCCCCACGGCGTAGAAGGTTACCTTGGCAATGGGCAGGGACAGGTCCCAGAAAGGATCAAAGGCAGTGGAACAGTAGCCGCAAGAACTGCAGGTCAAGGAGCTCTTTAGTTGCCCAACAAAGAGATCTAAAGAAAGAGAAGATGCGGAATGTGAAGGTGGAGACCAAGCAGGGTTACCATGTACGTAGGAGATGGATCTTCCTCCTGCCTGGAAGCTTGAAGAGATGCTTCACGTCATCCGAGTACGGAGAACAGAGGATCTGATCTCATGGTTGGGTTATCTCCATACTCTTAGTCACCAAGCAGCGAACTTGCTTTTGACCTCATTTGTTGTGCAAGCTCAGGCTAATGTTTTTCACTGACGCTTCTCTGCGTAGGAGTTACCCATGACCTAGTTACGTGGATAGGTGCGCTACACAACAGTGACAATGGAAGGCAGTTTTGTTTTTTTTAAAAAATGTAAGTTTTAGAAAGAAGCTTCAAAGTCTTGACTGGGGTTGGATCTCAACTCCGTACTTCTCAAGGCTTTCTGAAGCTTCTCTTCCCAGTGCCTAGACCTGGAGATCGGGTGGAGATCCATTTTGTGGTTTTCCAAAAATCAGTTGAGGAATTTCAGAGAGCACGAAACGCTCCTTGATCTTTGTGGTTGCCCATTCCCAACTTGGTTTGGGTTGCCAGTTTAGTGCTGGGAAGCAAACACGCAAATCGTAGCCACAAATTCAACACAAGCTTCTTGCGTGGCCCTGAATCAGAGGTGAAATGCTCCCGGTTCGGACCGGATCGTCCAATCCGGTAGTGATGGCAGCGGGTGGTTCGGAGAACCGGTAGCAAAAATCCCTGCGTCCCTCACCATGCTCAGCTGAGTCGCACAATCATCAGAGGCTTTTTTTTTTTTTTTTACTTTTAAAAGCATTTTTTCTACAACCTCTTCCGACGAAAAAATGCTTTTAAAAGTTAAAAAAAAAAGCCTCTGATGATCACAAGGCTCAGCTGGGATCCTCAGAGGCTTTTCAAAGCATTTTTTTCTGCAACCTCTTGGCCGAAGAGGTGGTTAAAAAAAATGCTTTGAAAAGTCTCTGATGATCCCAGCTGAGTTGCCTGATCGCCAGAGAGGCTTTTCAAAGCATTAGAAAAAATGCTTTGAAAAGTTTTTTTTAAAAAAAGTTGGCCACGCCCACCCCGTCACATTGCCCACCCACCCACTAAGCCACGCCCACAGAACCGGTAGTAACACATTTTACATTTCACCCCTGCCCTGAATGACTAGATAAACTAGGACTGAATTTTTATTTATTTATTTTATTTTATTTTTCAATTTATATACCGCCCTTCTCCCTGAGGACTCAGGGCGGTGCACAGCCAGAATTAAAAACATGAAATACAAATATTAAAAACAATTAAAATCTATATAAATTTGGCCCAAAATTTAAAAAACCACAAACCACAAAGCTTGGCCATTGGAAAGGTCAAAATATTTTCTAAAAAGTTTGCCTGGGTTCCATGTGTCAACTGAGGGGGGGTCCAGCATTAGGTGGAGTCATGCATTAAAAAGAGAGGAAAAAAAATAAGTTGATCATGAATGGATTTGACAGCCAGGTTAATTACTGGGGAAAAAAACAACAACAAATTGCAGCTTTGCTGCAATTGAAATGTTGCTTTGAAATACCCAAGGAAGTCCGAACAAAACGACAATGAAAACGTTCTTTTAACAATGTTCAGTCAAGAGTTCTAAAAATATCAACAATTCAATGAACAAATTCAATGAACAGTTGCTCTTCCTGGCTTTGATCCGAGAACATCGAGACCAGACTTGACCCGATACAAATTTTTTAAAAAGAAATGAAACCGAAAGAAAGTGGCAACCTTGAACGAAAAGGGAACGGACTCTTTCAACCAAGTTTTGAAAGAGGCAGCTATGTTAATTAGGGTCAATGCCGTCGGGGTGTTTCTGAAGATTTCGCCACCTTCGAAACCCACAACCGGCAAGGAAGTGACACGGTTGACTGCCATGGCAATGAAAGCCAACATTTCTCAACCACTTGAAGATATGTGGACTTGGACTCCCAGAGCAATCCATGCTGGTCTTAAAAGTGGCCACTTTTTATCAGGTGACACGTCTGATCATTTTGTGAGTCGCCCCCAATGCGTTTTTGTCTTAATGATGTCACCAAGTCCTCCTTCTTCCTACGTGACGACCAACTGAGATGACAGAAAAGTCCCAGAATGGGTGAAGAAGAGGCAGAGGGGTTGGTGGGGAGACCCTCTCACTGGAAATGGGCTTTGTCCCTCAGCGCACCTACAATAGACCCCTTTCTGAGACAGTTCTCCAGGAAGGTTCTCCAAAATCCAAACAAATTTAGCCAAACCATTAAGGTAAAGGTAAAGGTTCCTCTTGCACATATGTGATAGTCGTTCCCGACTCTAGGGGGCGATGCTCATCTCCGTTTCAAAGCCGAAGAGCCAGCGCTGTCCGAAGACGTCTCCGTGGTCATGTGGCCGGCATGACTCAACGCCAAAGGCGCACGGAACGCTGTTACCTTCCTACCAAAGGTGGTCCCTATTTTTCTACTTGCATTTTTTTCCTGCTTTCGAACTGCTAGGTTGGCAGAAGCTGGGACAAGTCACAGGAGCTCACTCCGTTACGCGGCACTCGGGATTCGAACCGCTGAACCGCCGACCTTTCCATCGACAAGCTCAGCGGCTTAGCCACTGAGCCACCACGTCCCTTTTTGCCAAATCATTGGTACATCTTCAATCAGTTTTTCTCAACCGTGGCAACTTTAAGAAGTCAAGAATTTAAGAATTCTGGCCGGGGAATTCTGGAAGGGGAAGTCCACCCCTCTTAAAGCATGCTGACTAGGGAATTCTGGGAACTGAAGTCCACCCATCTTAAAGTCGCCAAGACCCCCCTGCCTCACATCCATCAATCCACAAACTCTTTTTTTGACGGCCCCACCAGAAACTCACCCCCAATCCGGCTGTCTTCTCTCGCCAGGTATCTCATCCACATCTGCCTACCCTTCTCGTCGTCCCTGCCGGAGACACGCAAGAGAGAGAGAGAGAGAGAAGGTGAAGAGGTTTTCCCAGCGGAGATCAACAGCCCTGGAATCAGATCCCAGAGGGGCTTTTTTCCAAGAGGCAGCTGGACTTCCTACAGGAACCATTTGCGCTTCAGTTTGAGATGAAGACAACACAGGCTCATCCTCCCACACAGCCTGGGCTTATCTTCAACAGGGCAGGAAAACACCCTGCAGAAAGGACAGCTCCAACTTCTCAAGGAAAGAATGAGACAGATTCAGAGCAGAAGAAGCTTCTTGGGTGAGAAGCGAAACGGCTTCGAAGAAAAAACAAGGAAGTCCAGTTGCCTCTTGAAAAAGCTGGGAACCTTGACCTGGATGGCTGAGAATCTCCATAAACTTCCTTTTTTTAAAAAAAAATAAATTGATTTATATGCCGCCCTTCTCCGGAGACTCAGGGCAGCTTACAATGCGTTAAGCAATAGCCTTCATACTTTTGTATATTTTATACAAAGTCAGCTTATTGCCCCCACAAACTGGGTCCTCAATTTACCTACCTTAGAAAGGATGGAAGGCTGAGTCAACCTTGAGCCTGGCGAGATTCGATCTTACTTTAATTGCAGACAGCTGGTGTTAAATTACAGTTCCTTCCTTCCTTCCTTCCTTCCTTCCTTCCTTCCTTCCTTCCTTCCTTCCTTCCTTCCTTCCTTCCTTCCTTTCTTCCTTCTCTCCCAGTGGTTAGAATACAATATTGCAGGGTAACTCTGTCCACTGCCAGGAGTTCGATTCTGACCAGCTCAAGATTGACTCAGCCTTCCATCCTTCCGAGGGAGGTAAAATGAGGACCCAGATTGTTGGGGGCAAGAGGCTGACTCTGTAAACCGCTTAGAGAGGGCTGTAAAAGCACTGTGAAGCGGTATATAAGTGCTATTGCTATTGGGCTTGAACCCAAACTGGGTCATCCCGATCTTTCTTTGGGGACCCAGCCCCGTAGATGGACCTTCTCAAGCACAAGCTTGTTCAGTCCAGGCCAGGCCAGGGGCATCGGCGTCCAGTGGTCTCCAGCCCCTCCCATCATCCCGAAACAACTGTCCCGGTGCTTCAGTTCTGCTGGGACTCACGGTAAATGGTCCAGGTTGTCATTGTTGCCTTTGGGACGGACCAACACCCGGTTCACTTCGTTGTGGAGCCCGTCGAGGAGGAAGCGCAGGAACTCCTGGGCGTCCTGCTGGCTGCGAGAGAGGAAGGACGGGTGTCAATCTAAGGGGAAGGAGGTGCCAGTCAGGCCCCACCAAAGGAGCCTGAGAGAAGAAGAGGAAACCGACTCTCTTCCTCCCCTCCTATCCTTCTGCAGGGAGTTTATTTATTTATTTTCATGTATTAAATTTAGAGGCCAAAGCGATTCTGGGTGGTTAGGACAGATTATTGACAGAAGGGGAGGAGAGGGGGGGGAGGGAGAGGGAAGGGGAAAGGGAAGAGAGGAGGAGAGGAGACAGGAGGAGGAGAGGGACAGGGAGAGGAGAAGAAGGAAGGAGGGAGAGGGGAAGACGGGAGGAGAGGAGAAGGAGGAGAGGAAGAGGGAGAGGGGAAGAGAAAGGGGAAGGAGGAGAGGGAGAGGATGGAGAGAAGAGGAGAGGAGGAGAAGGAGGGGAGGGAGAAGGAGACGGGAAGAGAGGAGAGGAGAAGGAGGAGGGGAGGGAGAAGGGAAGATGGGAGGAAAGGAGAGGAAAAGAAGGAGGAGAGGGAGAGGGGAAGAGAAAGAGGAAGGAAGAGAGGAGAGGAGATGGAAAGGAGAGGAAAAGGATGGAGACGAGAGGAGAGGAGAAGAAGGAGGGGAGAGAGAAGGAGAGGGAAAGAGAGGAGAAGAGAAGAAGGAGGAGAGGGAGAGGGGAAGAGAAAGGGGAAAGGGAAGAGAGGAGAGGAGAAGAGAGAAGAAGGAGGAGAGGGGAGGAGGAGAGGAGAGGATGGAGAGGAGAGGAGAAGAAGGAAGGAAAGAGAGGGGAGGAGGAGAGAAAAGGAGAGGAGGCCAAACTAACTCTCTCTCTTCATCAGATTTGGAAAGACAGAGGTGGCCATCTTTGGATCTGCTAGAATTTTTGGATTTTAACACCCTCCATTCCCTACCGGAATGCCGAATGCCAAGGAATGGGAGTTGTAGTTCCAAAGACCAACCGGAACAAGAGGTTGCTATGAAGGAATGCAGAGCTAGCAAATGCTAAAAGCTCTACTGAGGTTGAAGAAGGAGAAGCAAGGGAGGAACGAAAAGTAAAAGAGAAGGCACTCGATTTCCCCCTCTTACTTGTATCCCACAAAGCGGGGAGCGTATCGTTGAATCTGCATCTTGAATTCGGAAGGGCTCACGGATTCATTGGGAGACGAAGTCCACAACGCCTGGATGAGCTTGGCGAACTCTGGAGAGAGGGGAGGAAGCAAGGCGGCCGTCAACACACGAGCACAGAAGAACCCAAGGTGCCCACCACAGAGCCAGACCTTGTTCCATCCCTTCCAGACCCAACGTGGGTCCCTGCGGGGAGACAGGAGCTCTGGCTGACTTCCTAGCTATGATCCACATGACGGGAGACCTGTGGGACCCTAATGGCCGGGGTCCATGACATTAACGACTGTCAAATGGAGCAGAGAACTGGGGGGGGGGGAGAGGAGAGAAAGAGAAGAATTCAAGGGATGGACGGGGTCCTTGGTCCTCTCTGAGCCTTGGTGGTTTTCTTGCAGACGTTTTATGACCCAAATGGGTAACATCATCAGTGCTAGAAGGGAGGGGCGTTGCCGAGACAAAGAGGAGAAGAAGGAAGGAAGGAGAGGAGAGGAGAGGAGGAGAAGGAGAAGGAGAAGAAGGAGGAGAGGAGAGGAGAAGGAGAAGGAGAAGGAGAAGAAGGAGGAGAGGAGAGGAGAGGAGAGGAGAGGAGAGAAGGAGAAGGAGAAGGAGAAGGAGAAGGAGAAGGAGAGGAGAGGAGAGAAGGAGAAGGTGAAGGAGAAGGAGGAGAAAGAGAACTGGGGGGGGGATCCTTGGTGCTCTCTGACCTTGGTGCTTTTCTTGCAGACGTTTCATGACCCAACTGGGTAACATTGTCAGTGCTAGAAGAAGTCTGAACGAGAGCAATCCCACTCCCTTCTACTACTGGTGATGTTCCCTCATTGGGTCATGAAACATCTGCAAGAAAACCACCAAGCTCAGAGAGCACCAAGGACTCTACAGTCCTCCTCCTCTTCTTCCTCCTCCACTTCTTCCTCTCCGCAAATCCTTCTCCCTTCTAGCACTGATGGTATTGCATAGTTGGGTCATGAAACGTCCACAAGTAAACCACCAAGCTCAGAGAGCACCAAGGACTCTACAGTCTTCCTTCTCCTCCTTAAACCCCACTTCCTTTTAACACTGATGGTGTTACTAGTTGGGTCATGAAACATCTGCAAGAAAACAGCCAGGCTCAAAGCGCACCAAGGACCCCACAGTCTTCCTCCTTCTCCCCCCACCCTCTCTTCTAGCACTGATGATGTTCCCTAGTCTGGTAATGAAATGTCTGTAAGAAAACAGCCAGGGTCAAAGAGCGCCAAGAACCCCACAGTCTTCTTTTTCTTCTTCTTCCTCCTCCTCCTCCTTCTCTTCTCCTCCTCCTCCTCCTCCTTCTCTTCTCCTCCTCCTCCTCCTCTTCTCCTCCTCCTCCTCTTCTTCTCCACCTCCTCCTCTTCCTCCTCTTCTCCTCCCCTTCTCTTCTCCCCTCCTCCTCCTCTTCTCCTCCTCCTCTTCTCCTCCTCCTCCTCTCCTCCTCCTCCTCTTCTCCACCTCCTCCTCCCCTCCTCTCCTCCTCCTCCTCCTCTCCTCTTCTTCTCCTCCTCTTCTCCTCCTCCTCCCCTCTTCTCCTCCTCTACTCTTCTCCACCTCCTCCTCTTCCTCCTCTTCTCCTCCCCCTTCTCTTCTCCCCTCCTCCTCCTCTTCTCCTCCTCCTCTTCTCCTCCTCCTCCTCTCCTCCTCCTCTTCTTCTCCACCTCCTCCTCCCCTCCTCTCCTCCTCCTCCTCTTCTCCTCCTCCTCCTCCTCTCCTCTTCTCCTCCTCCTCCTCCTCCTCTCCTCCTCCTCCTCTTCTCCTCCTCCTCCCCTCTTCTCCTCTTCCTCATCTCCACCTCCTCCTCCCCTCCTCCTTTTCCTCCTCTCCTCCTCCTTCTCTTCTCCTCCTCCTCCTCCTCTTCTCCTCCTCTACTCCTCTTCTTCTCCACCTCCTCTTCTCCTCCTCTTTTCCTTCCCTCTGAAAGTCGTCTGCTTCAGCTTTCTCCCCCTCCTTCCTAGCCCCCTCCCATGAAGGGGCTTCGGGAGAGGAAGGCCCACCTCCGCCTGCCAACTGTTTCCCCGTTGTGCCCGAGCAAAATCGCGCCGCCTTCACCTGTCATGAGTGACATCTGCATGCGACTGTTGTTGTTGAGATCGCGGACATATTGGCTCTGCAGGCAGTAATCTCGCAGCTCTTTGGTGTTGCTCAGGCACTGCAGGATGGAGTTCATAAAACACTGCAAGAGGCAGGAGAGAGAGAGAGAGAGAGAGAGAGAGAAATGAAGGCCAGGCCGCCAGGCCACGGGCCATTCCACCCCATCCTTTCTCCAGGTAACATCTGCCCAGGTTTCTCCTTCAAGCAAGAATGTTCCACCCCCCCCCCTTTGGATGAACTTGGCTCCAGGAACTGTTTTTCAGAAAAAGAATTAGGCCTACCAGCTGGGCAGTCTGGAATGGGCAATGCCAACCATCTGGAGAGAAGCAGATTTGGAAAATTATCGGCTATGCACCTGGCAAGCTAAAGGGGTCCCTGACTTCTTTTAACAACCCCATTATCCCTTGTGGGGTGGAGTCTGGGCAACCGAATGGAGTTAGCAGAGTGTTTTCATGGCCGGATGCCTTTCCTGTTGCCAGTGCGGAGTTTTGTTCGGCAGATATATTTCTCCAGACAGAGAAATATCTGCTTCTACCTAGGATCGAACTCACAGCCTCCTGATTGTGCGACTGCTTTGAGGGCTCCTGGGTTGGAGCTGAAAGGCAAAAGGGAAGCCGTATGCTCCCTCCCACATGTTGGGGTATATATATATATATGTTTTCTGAGGTTTTTGCGGGTGTTTGTATGTAGGTCTTTGGTTATTTGGGTTTTCTCCCGCGTAAAATTGGAGGTGTCTTGGCAACGTTTCGACGAAGTCTCATTCGTCATCTTCAGGCTGGTGTTCTCGGCTTCGTGCTTCTAGGAGCAATGTGTGTGATCGCAATGTGTGTGATCACAGCTGTTTCTTCCTTTTAAATAATATATATATATATTGACATAAAGGTATATGAAAGAACAAAAGGAAAGCTTTAGAATTGAAGAGTGATCGTAAAAGATATGTGTATATGAAACTATGAAAATGAAATGTAATAACTAGGAGTAATAACATTATCTTTATTGTACTGAAATATAAGATACCCAGATATCACACTATTCATGCATTGATATGTATAAACAATATAAAATTAAAAAAAAACTTGAAATAATAATAAAAAAAGAAAATCTCTAGGGATGGAGCCCCCACCACCTCTGGAGGCAAGCTGTTCCACTGCTTAATTGTGGAATTAACAGAATTCTCCTTAATTTGAGGTTGGGTCTCTTCTTTGATAAGGTTCCACCCATTACTTCTTATCCTGCCCTCCATGCCCTCACCTACGTTTAAAAACAGCTTAAAGTAACTTTAAAAATATATATAAAAAAGGCCGCGAGCTGTTGCTATGGTGAAAAAATAATTAAGAAACCCAAAGATTTTTTCGGGTTTATTTTTTCCCCCCCGCTCACCCACAGTGTTCCATTGCATCTGTGACTGACTCATGCTACGACGCACATGGGCACACACAGTCACACACAGACACACTGGTTTGTCACGCCTGGGCAGAGATGCCCATCAGGGTGATAGGCTTTGTTTGTCAGCTCCCTAAAAGCAAAGCTTTCAAGATGGGGGTGGGGGGGGCATCAATGACTTGATGGAGCCCTCAAACCTTCCCTGCAAGATCTCCTTCCATCCTTCAACCCAGATCCCTTCTTTGGAGTGCAGGTGGAGTAGCAACAACTACTGTGTTTCCCCGAAAATAAGACCGGATCTTATATTAATTTTTGCTCCATTAGGGCTTATTTTCTGGTTAGGTCTTCTTTTGGGGGGGAAATCTTAACTGGGGCTTATTTTGTGGGTAGGCTTATATTACGAGCATCCTGAAAAATCATGCTAGGACTTATTTTCTGGTTGGGTCTTATTTTGGGGGGGAAATATTTATTTATTTATTTGGTTCGATTTATATGCCGCCCTTCTCCGGAGACTCAGGGCGGCTTACAATGCGTTAAGCAATAGCCTTCGTACTTTTTTATATACCTGCTTAGTAGGGCTTTCGCCCCCCCCCTCCACCAAGCGGTGTTCTTTTTTTATACAAAGTCAGTTTATTGCCCTCACAATCCGGGTCCTCATTTTACCTACCTCGGAAGGATGGAAGGCTGAGTCAACCTTGAGCCTGGTGAGATTTGAACTTGCAGTAATTGCAGGCAGCTGGTGCTACTTAATAGCACTTTAGTCTGCTGCGCCACCAAGGCTCTTAAATACGGTACTAAATGCACCCATCTGGCTGACAATCTTAACTGGGGCTTATTTTGGGGGGTAGGGCTTATGTTACGAGCATCCTGAAAAATCATGCTAGGGCTTATTTTCCGGTTGGGTCTTATTTTCAGGGGAAACAAGGTACTAGTACTGTTACTACCGGCTCTCCTCCTCCTCTTCCTCTTCCATCAACCGCTGGGTGGGACCGGGTTATTTGGGGGGGAGGATGGTAGCAAGAAGGAAGTGAGACGCTAGTTCCTTTCTCTCCTGTTGTGGTTGAGAGGAGGTCCCAGCAGATGTTTGCCCGAGAAGGAACTCCCTCCCATGGGCACCAAAGGGGAACCCACCTACACAGCCAATGCTAGCTCTAGAAGAGTGTATGTGAGAGTGCCCGGGAGTGAATGTCAGTGCTCAATTCCCCCATCAGGTCTGATGTCCATTTATTGTTTTAGAAGATGTCTTGACTCTCTCACTGACAAGGAGCTTCCGGTGGTCAGGAGAGACAAGTTGCGTTGGGTGAACAGCGAGGCGACGTCAGATTATCCATGTCAGATTTGTGGCAGGCAGGGAAAGTTTCCTTTCCTTCTTTTTCGTTTCCTTTCTTCTGTCTGTCTCGCCTTCTTCCCTTTCTTCCCTTCGTCGCATTCTTTTTCCTTTCCTTTCCTCTCCTCTCCCTTTCATCTCTCTTTTCTTCCTTTCCTTCTTTCCTTTTTCCTTCCTTTCCTCCCTCTTTTCTTCCTTTTCTCTATTTCCTTTCCTTTTTCTCTATTTCCTTTCCTTTCACTTCATTTCCTCCCTCTTTTCTTCCTTCTTTCCTTTCCTTTCCTTTCCTTTCCTTTCCTTTCCTTTCCTTTCCCTCTCTTTTCTTCATTTCCTTTCCTTTTTCTCTATTTCCTTTTCTTTTTCCCTTCCCTTCCACTTCCTTTCCTCCCACTTTTCTTCCTTTCCTTTTTCTCTATTTCCTTTCCTTTCCTTTTTCTCTATTTCCTCCCTCTTTTCTTCCTTTCCTTTCCTCCCTCTTTTCTTCCTTTTCTCTGTTTCCTTTCCTTCCTGGAGTTGTGGGCCACGTACCATCTTTCAGTGCAAATACTGAATCTTTCTGTGCCTACCAGTTGTCACATCTGGGTGTGGCAGGCTGACACTATTTTCCGAAATAGTTACACAACTCGTTGGGGGGCTCTCCTCTTCCCTTTGCACAAGTGAGAACAAAACTCCTCGCAGTGTCATCCGAGAAGCGGAAGTGAGGTAAAAGACTCAGCAAAGGCAACTTAAGCTTCCTCCCTCAACCAGACCCGACTGGCCCTGGTTGGAGAGCTGAGCTGCAGCTGTGGGGTCAGCTGAACAAGCCCCCACCCCGGGGGGGGGGGCTCCAAGAACTTGGTCAGGGGACGCAGAGGGGAGGAGAGGCAGCCCCCTGCAAGGAATGAGCTCAGCAAGGATTGTAGGAGGAGAACTGACCACGTCCGTCTATTATGGCTGAGATCTCACCACAGTTTTCCACAAGGCGTCATGAAGGGAAGAAGGGAAGGAAGGAAGGAAGGAAGGAAGGAAGGAAGGAAGGAAGGAAGGAAGGAAGGAAGGGAAGGAGTGAAGGAAGAGTGAGTGATGGAGGGAGGGAAGGAGAGAATAAGGAAGAAAGAAAGAAATGATGAAGGGAGGGAGGAAAGAAGGAAGGAAAGGTGACAAAGGGAGGGAGGGAGGAAGGGAGGAAGAAAAAGAGGGAGGGAAGAAGGAAGAGAAGGAGTGAAGGAAGAGTGAATGATGGAGGGAGGAAAGGAGAGAATAAGGAAGGAAGGAAGGAAAGAAGGAAGGAAGGAAGGAAGGAAGAAAAAAATGATGAAGGGAGAGAGGAGGAGAGGGAAGGAGGAAGGAAGGAAGAAGGAAGGGAAGGAGTGAAGGAAGAGTGAGTGATGGAGGGAGGGAGGGAGGGAAGGAGAGAAGAAGGAAGGAAGGAAGAAAGAAAGAAAAATGATGAAGGAAGGGAGGGAAGAAGGAAGGAAAACTTACGGTGTTCCCGAGGTTTCGGAGACCAGTCAGACCTTGTACCGTTTTCGAATTCTGCAAAGAAAGAAGAAAGACCCGGTTTGTGAAAAGGCAACCTTCAGACAATCATACAAAACTGCAGGCAAAATTCACCACAGGAGGGTCCCAGAATAGGAGACGGGGAGAACGGAAGGCAAAGGAATGGGATTCCCACCCAGCTGCCATTAGCAGAGGGGAGACGGCCTGGTCCTACCCGGAAAGGACGGCGCCTTCTTTTATTTATCCTATGTCTGTCTCTATATCTATCTATCTATCTATCTATCTATCTATCTATCTATCTATCTATCTATCTATCATCTTTATCCTCTGTCTGTCTGTCTGTCTCTCTCTTTCTCTCTATCTATCTATCTACCTATCTATCTATCATCTTTATCCTTTGTCTGTCTGTCTGTCTCTCTCTATCCTATCTCTCTCTCTCTCTTATCTCTCATCTTTATCCTCTGTCTGTCTGTCTGTCTCTCTCTCTTCTCTCTCTCTTTCTCTCTATCATCTATCTATCTATCTATCTATCTATCTATCTATCTATCTATATCTATCTATCTATCTATCTATCTATCATCTATCTATCTATCTATCTTCTTTATCCTCTGTCTGTCTGTCTGTCTGTCTCTCTATCCCATCTTTCTCTCTCCCTCTCTCTCTCATCTTTATCCTTTGTCTGTCTGTCTGTCTCTCTCTTTCTCTCTATCTATCTATCTACCTATCTATCTATCATCTTTATCCTTTGTCTGTCTGTCTGTCTCTCTCTCTCTATCCTATCTCTCTCTCTCTCTCTCTCATCTTTATCCTCTGTCTGTCTGTCTGTCTCTCTCTCTCTTTCTCTCTCTCTCTTTCTCTCTATCATCTATCTATCTATCTATCTATCTATCTATCTATCTATCTATCTATCTATCTATCTATCTATCTATCATCTTTATCCTCTGTCTGTCTCTCTCTCTATCCTATCTCTCTCTCTCTCTCTCATCTTTCCTCTTGTCTGTCTGTCTGTCTCTCTCTCTCTCTCTCTCTCTTCTCTCTATCTATCTACCTATCTATCTATCATCTTTATCCTTTGCCTGTCTGTCTCTCTATATCTATCTATCTATCTATCTATCTATCTATCTATCTATCTATCTATCTATCTATCACACGGACACAGAGAAATCTACCAATGCCCAGAGACTGGCAGAGCCGCTCGGCCTTTGCCACCCCGCTGGACGGCCTGGCCCCTTGGCCAAGGACGGGCGGGGGGGGGCGGGCAAAGTCTCGCTTTCCACAGGAGCGATCCAACCAGTCGGGTGACGAGTCAGACTCGTCAGCAGAAACCCCGCAGGATCTTGGCGGTTTATTAAGAGCCGGACATAAATTCTTGGCACGGACGGATGTTCGGAACGGGTCCATCTGGCACAGGCCCAGAGGCCGGTGTCCTTGCTCAGCCTCCTTGGAGTGGGGAGAGGAGAAATGGGGCAGGGAAGGGCAGGAGGGGAAGCTGCCCCAGCAAGGCAGAGCTTTCCACCCCTAAGAAGTGAACTCTTTGCACACCCGCGAACTCACACCCCCCCGCAATAGGAAGACAAGTAGTCCTCGACTTACGACCTCAACGGATCCCAAAACCTACGTTGCTAAGCGAGAAGTTTGCTAAGCGAGCTTGGCCCCATTTTACGACGTCTCTTGCCACGTTTCGTTAAGGGAATCCCTGCAGTTATCCAATTGTTAAGTGAATCTGGCTTTGCTTGTCAGGAAGTCGGAAAAGAGGATCACGTGACCCCCGGGGATAATGCGACCGTCGTAACTATGAACCAGTTATCAAGCATCTGAATGTAAATCATACGACCCTGCAATGGTCATAAGTCTGAAAAACGGTCATGAGTCGCTTTTATTTTCAGTGCTGTTTTTCTTTTGGAGCGGTCACTAAATGAATTGTTGTAAGTCGAGGACTACCTGTGGCAGGGATTTTAAGCGTTACTGGCCCGGCCAAGGATTGCAAGGAAAGGTAGGCTACGCAAAGCCCAGATCGAAGGCTTCACCTGGTAAACATCTGCCTGCAGCTACTTTTGAAAAGATCAAGGTGGGGCAGGGGGGAAGGACCGGATGGAGGGTGGGGGTGGGGGAGAGGGCTCTAATTCTTTTTTGTGGTTGCCATTTTCCTGCTTCTCTTTACTTTTGCCGGCAAACGAAAGGGAGAGTACCCAAGAAATGTTGAGAGAAACTGACCGGGGAGGGAGACTGCGCGGAGGGTGATTTCGAACACAGGCCCGGGAAGACAAAGAACCCGGCATTGTCTGCATGTTTTCCACTCAGCCTCTTTCTTAGAGAGTTGTTTGGCCTCGCTCAGCTTCAGGAGGGGCAAACTCCTCCTTCTCCCCCTTCCCTTCTTCTTCATCTTCCTTCTCCTCTTCTTCCTCCTCCTTTTCCTCTTCTTCCTCCTTCTCCTCCCCTCCCCTTTTCTTCCTTTTCCTTCTCTTCCTCCTCCTCCTCCCCTTCCCTTCTTCTTCCTCCTTATTTTTCCTCCCCTTCATGTCTTATTTCTCCTCTTCCTCCCCTTCGCTTCTTCTTCTTTTTCCTCCTCCTTTCTCCTCCACTTCTTCCTCCTCTTCTTTTTTTCCTCTTCCTCCTCTTCCTCCTGGGCCATGGAGTGGGGGGGACGTGTGCCAAACGGGAAACCCAGCACTGAGCAGGACCCAGCCTGTGGCTCAGCCTCTTCCTTAGGGAGTTCAGAATGTTTGGCCTCGCTCCGCTTCAGGAGGGGCAAACTCCTCCTTCTCCCCTTCCCTTCTTCTTCATCTTCCTTCTCCTCTTCCTCCTCCTCCTCTTTTCTCCTCCTCCTCTTCTTCCTTCTTCTCCTCCCCTCCCCTTCTTTTTCTTCCTTTTCCTTCTTCTCTTCTTCTTCCTCTTCTTCTCCCCTACCTTTCTCCTCCTCCCCCCTTCTTTTTCTTCCTTTTCCTTCTCTTCTTCCTCCTCCTCCCCTCCCCTTCTTCTTCCTCTTCCTTCTCCTCTTCTTTCTCCTCCTCTTTTCTCCTCCTCTTCTACTTCCTTCTTCTCCTCCCCTCCCCTTCTTTTTCTTCCTTTTCCTTCTCTTCTTCTTCCTCTTCTTCTCCCCTACCTTTCTCCTCCTCCCCCTTCTTTTTCTTCCTTTTCCTTCTCTTCTTCCTCCTCCTCCCCTTCCCTTCTTCTTCATCTTCCTTCTCCTCTTCTTTCTCCTTAATTTTTCCTCCCCTTCATGTCTTATTTCTCCTCCTCCTCCCCTACATTTCTCCTCCTCCCCTTTCTTTTTCTTCCTTTTCCTTTGCCTCTTCCTCCTCCTCCCCCGTCCCTTCTTCTTCATCTTCCTTCTCCTCTTCTTTCTCCCTAATTTTTCCTCCCCTTCATGTCTTATTTCTCCTCCTCCTCCCCTCCCCTTCTTCTTCTTCCTCCCCCCTTTGCTGCTTCTTATTTCTCCTCCTCCTTTCTCCTCCACTTCTTTCTCTTCCTCCTCTTCTCCTCCTCCTCCCTCTTCCTCCTGGGCCATGGAGGGTGGGTGGGTGGGGACGTGCTGGGTGGGAAACCCAGCAACTGAGCAGGACCAGCCTGTGGCTCAGCCTCTTCCTAAGGAGTTCAGGATATTGGACCTCGCCCCGCTTCAGGAGGGGCAAACCTGGAGTGAAGTCGGGCAAAGATCTTTGAATCTCGGAGGAAGCTCTTGCAGGCACGCTTGGTTGGCTTCCCGAGGCCGACTTTGACCTCCAACTTTCTCTCTGCTCTTTGGAAGCTGAGGCCAAACCTTGAGGACTAGCTGCTTCCCTCCCAGCCTGCCTTTTAAACCTCCCGTCAAAAGGATCAGATGCAGGAGAGCCTGAGGTGTACGTGTGAATGGGGGATGGGGTTACACGCGTGTCTGAGCCTTCCCAACTTTTCGCCAGCAGAGATTTTTTTCTTTCAGCCAAGGGCCAGAGGGGGAGATCGACCCCTGCCCTTTGCCCAGATCTGGGGTTTCGGGGCTCTCAGGGCCTGCTCTCGCGGGGTTCGCCTGGCTGCCTTGGCACCCCAGAAAGGGAGGCGAAGGGGGAGGCGGCTGCACCGGTGCTCCAAATAGCGCTTCACATGTGCGAGTGGGAGGAATCCAGCTTTCTCCTTGACGACTGCCCAAAATAGACCCGTCTCCAAACAGCTCCGACTCCGCTTTAATTGTGCACGCAGCGCTTCCACAGCCCAGCTTCCTCTCAAGCGTGAAAAAGAGGCAAGGGGGCTTATGCCCTCCTCCTCCTCTTCTTTTTCTTCCTCCCTCTCCTCCTTTTCTTCCTCCTCCCCTCCCCTTCTTTTTCCCCTCCTCCTCTTCTTCTTTCTCCTCTTCTTCCTCCTTCTCCTCCCCCCCCTTCTTCTTCCTCTTCCTTTTCCTCTTCTTCCTCCTTCTTCTCCCCTTCCCTTCTTCTTTCTCCTCCTCCTCTTCTTCTTTCTCCTCCTCCTCTCTTCCCCCTTCTTCTCCCCTTCCCTTCTTCTTTCTCCTCGTCCTCTTCTTCCTCCTCTTCTTCCTCCTCCTCTCCTTCTTTTCTCCTCCTCCTCCTCTTCTTTCTCTTCTCCTCTTCCTCCTCCTCCTCCTTCCTTTCTTCCTTTCTTCTTCCTCTTCTCTCCTCTCTTCCTCCTCTTCCCTTCTTCTTCCTCTTCTTCCTCCTCCCCTTCCCTTCTTCTTCCTCCTCCCCTCCCCTCTTCCTCCTCCTTTTCTTCCTCCTTCTTCCTCTCCCCTTCACTTCTTCTTTCTCTCCCCCCTTCTTCTTCCCTCTTCTCCTTCACTTCTTATTTCTCTTCCTCCTCTTTTTCTCCTTCTTTCTTTCTCCTCCACTTCTTTCTCCCCTCTTCCTCCTCTTCTCCTCTTCTTCCTCCTCCTTCTCTTTCTCTTCCTCTTCCTCCTCCTCGCCTTCCCCTTCTCCTTCTCCTTCAGCGGGAGCACAGAAAGCACTCCTTAAGGCAACACTCAGATCTGTGCCCAGTGCCCACAAACCTCATCTAAATCCAATCCTTTCCCAGCTCTCCTTCCCTCTACTCCCAGCTTGGCTTCTAAT